CAATGTGGCAGGAAGGAAGGAAGAAATTACTGTTTTGGAAATAAAACATATCTTTCTTTAAAATGTCTTCCATGTCTGTGTATGAACATATTGTGTAATTGCTTGGTCTTTGTTCTAAACTGGACACACCTGATTAGTACTCCCTGAGAAATGTTGTGTGGATTTTCTTTGAAATCCAGATTCCAATGCATTCCTTGCTATGGTACTAGAAAGCAAATCTTTTTATACAATGCCAGTGTAGGTAGTAGAATAAACGGTAAAGGTAAAGGTACCCCTGCCCGTACTGGCCAGTCGTGTCTGACTCTAGGGTTGTGCGCTCATCTCACTTAAGAGGCCGGGAGCCAGCGCTGTCTGCAGACACGTCCGGGTCACGTGGAGGTAGTAGAATACATTGTATGATATAAGAGGTGCATAAGGGCAGTCATTTTTTTCTTGCTGTGGTTTTCTTGAAATAGCTGACCCATTGCTTTCATGGGTTCTTGTGAATTCTGTTTCAAAGCCATCAGCCTTCTGGTGTTTTGTAGTACAGACAACTCCCCATTTACAAACATCCAATTGATGCACGACTGCACACATGCACATCGTGCCGAACTCAGAAATGACTTTTTAAATGGCAAAAACAGCCCCGAAAGAGCCCAGAAAGGACAGAACAAAGCACCTAGCAATCCCACAAGGCTATACAATTGTAGTTACACACAGAAGGCAATAAACACTCATGGACACCATAAGAATTCAGTCTAGTGTAGAATTTACTTAACAGGCTATAATATCATCATTAGTAGCAAATATATACAACATTTACCACAGCCACAGTCCAAGCCTCTCCCTCTCCACTGTAATTAGCAAACAAGGAGAACAAATTACTCAGAACGGTGTTATAAGTCTTTCCTGTAGAAACTGCACATGTCCAAAGAACAGTTCCCATGGACAATGTCCTTATATAGTCAAAACAACCTCAGCTTTCTGCTTCTTCTTGAATCTTCTTCTCTGTTTCTGGAATGAATGAATCTTTCACACACACAAAGAATCAAACATCCCTGTCTTACATTTTCTGTAACACTGTCATCAGGACTGCAGGACTGCCATAGTTATTCCTAGGCTAGGTCACACTGACTCCCCCCCCTCTAAAAACAAGTAAGAAAAAGTCATGGGGTGGTATGATTCTCCCAGAGATATCAGTTGTTGACCCCAAAACCTGGATTTCTTTAACACAAAACTTCTCTGTGAAATAAGCAAGTTCCAGGAAGTTCCAAAGGTAGAAAGCCAAGAACCAGTTGATATCACACCTATTCTCACATTCTGTGAACAGAATGATGATTCATACTGTTGAATTCTTCTGAACAAACATGAACCTGGATCTCATGGCCACATTCTCTATGTTGAGAGTGGAATGGGCTGAACTCCCACAAATCCAGCAGTCATTCTTAATATACTGGATGTACTATTTTTAGTACCAGCAAAGATGGAGAGGGCTGCCAGCTTATCATGAGAATACTAATTATATCAGTGAAGAATTAAGCAATATGAGAAAATCAATCGTGCCTCTGAAACATAGAAGGAAACAATAAAGAACAATCTCATGTGTAGGCTGGCTATTTCCATCCCTGTAAAGTATGAAGCAATCCCCCCCCGCTCCTCTGCTCCCCACCCCAAATAGAGAAATGAATCTTTCTCTCCCATCCAAAAGCCCCCCCCCCCCATTTTTGGAAGGGAGTGAATGTTTCCATCCCAGATTGACAATGTTTCACTATTACTCCACTGTAGGGCTTTCTTCTATACAGTGGTATCTCTGGTTACGTACTTAATTCATTCCAGAGGTCCATTCTTAACCTGAAACTGTTCTTTATTATAAAATAATTTTTATTAACCGGCCAATCACATCAAATCAAATCATATCACATAAATTCCGAATTACAAAGCCGAATTTTAAATTTTGTTGAGGGAACCCATATTTCAAGATCCGAAGGGGGATTCTGATCATCTTCTTGCTACTGCGTTAATGTCCAAATCAGTCCAAACAAAGTTCATAATTCTATCCAGAATTATCTTGCTGTTTCCACATCACATCTTGTTCATATATTTTCTCTTTTTTCTTTATGATCTCTTCTGATAGTCTCCTTAAGCCGATAAACACCAATAATAATCCTGTGTGAATTTTTCCGTTCTTCCAGTCCTCAAATCGAGATGGTTTCCATATATCATCGCCTTCATAGATAACAGTGCTCTTTCCATCATTAATTACAGAACTGTCTTTCTTAAGTCCCACTGAGAAGTTTCATCCACAATATAAAAACAGCTCTATTTCTCTATTTCTCCTCTCAGACTTCAGTCCTCCGACAGAACTTCCCAATATGGCGACGGTATTTTTAACTGCGTCATTCCAAAGCCCTTATACATTCCACGCTCTTCTTAAAACATGCTCTGGTTCAAAAGTTTATCTCCACACAGCCTTAAATCCACAGCTTAAGTCCTTAAAAAGACATTTCTGACTTGTGGGTGGGGGGGATTCTTGTTTAATCACATAAAGGAAAGAAAGGAAGGTTTTTTCCCCCTCCCCCATCAGTCCCTTTGCCATACCGAGTCTTGGCGTATCTTCTCATGATCTATACTTGTTCCTCCGACTCGTCTTGTTTTATCTCTTCTGTTAGCAGTCTTTACTCCCCCTTCTTCCTTGAAATATGTGCATTAGCTTCATCCAAATTATTTCTTTTGAAGTTCTTGCAGCTAGTGGGGTGGATCAGAGACGGTGTCCAGGAATGCCGAAATCCCACAGGAGGGCATTGTGCCTAGTGCCCCCATCCCCACAAATTCGGGGGTGGTATAGGGCACAGCAGGCAAGGGCAGTCCCCCACCATAATCCGGGGGGGGGGGTAGGGAGGCTATTTACTCCCATCACAGCCTCCAATTTACCTTGTGTGGGTCGGAGAGATGTTATTGTCAGCCATCTTCTGATGTGCCCCTAGTGGTCCCTGAAACTGTTCTTAACCTGAAGCACCACTTTAGTGAATGGGGCCTCCCACTGCCACCGCCATGCGATTTCTGTTCTCATCCTGAAGCAAAGTTCTTAACCCGAGGTACTATTTCTGGGTTAGTGGAGTCTGTAACCTGAAGCATATGTAACCTGAAGCGTATGTAACCCAAGGTACCACTGTATTTATTTCTCCCCTCTCATTTAGGAATACAGAAAACTGTGGCCAATCTCTGCAATGTGCCCCACATGCCTGTAAGTATACGAGCAATGATACCAAAAAGGACCCAGTGCCTTAGGAGAAACTATTTTCATGTCTTGTAGTGAGTCTCAGTAATAATTTACACCCAGGCTCCTATGGATTCCCTAAACAATATGTCGTGTAATTCTCTTATTTATCAAGTCCTCTTGTAGATTTCCAGAAGTTACATCATAACATAGTTTCCAAATTTCTAGAAGTTGCATCATATCAAATCACGAAACAGGACAAAATGCTGTTTTCAAAATCTCACCTATGCTCTCCTCATCTCCCTCATGCTCTGCTTTCTTTCTACCTTTATGTTCATTGGGCAACCTGGAAAAGTGAAATGCCTACTCCGTGAAATAGCATTTGGCATGGTCTTCTCAGCAGCTGTGTATTCTGTGTTAGCAAAAACCATCACAGTGGTTCTGGCTTTCATGGCCACAAAGCCAGGAAGCAGCATGAGAAGATGGGTGGGGAAAAGAGTGGCCAACTCCATTGTTCTCTTATTCAAGCAGGCATTTGCACTGCATGGTTGCTCACCTCTCCCTCTTTCTCAGATAGTGATATGAACTCAGTAGCTGAAGAAATTGCACTTGAATGTAACGAGGGGTCTGTGACTATGTTTTATTGTGTCCTGGGTTATATGAGCTTCTTGGCTTTTGTGAGCTTCACTGTGGCTTTCCAGGCCAGGAAGTTACCAGACAGTTTCAATGAAGCCAAGCTGATCACTTTCAGCATGCTGGTCTTTTGCAGTGTTTGGTTATCCTTTGTCCCAACCTACCTGAGCACCAAGGGAAAATACATGGTGGCTGTGGAGATCTTCTCTATTTTGGTCTCCAGTGCTGGGCTGCTGGGTTGCATCTTCCTCCCTAAATTCTACATTATTGTCCTCAAGCCAGAACAAAAGAGTTCAGCTAATTATGAGAAAAGGTTACAGATAGGTAGCCGTGTTGGTCTGCCGTAGTCAAAATAAAAAAATTCCTTCCAGTAGCACCTTAAAGACCAACTAAGTTAGTTCTTGGTATGAGCTTTATCTGAAGAAGTGTGCATGCACACGGAAGCTCATACCAAGAACTAACTTAGTTGGTCTTTAAGGTGCTACTGGAAGGAATTTTTTTTATTTTGACTATGAGAAAAGGCTAAACAATTTATTTGTTCTGTTAAATATTTCCCAATGTCCATTGATTCATGTGGACACTAGGTAACTGTTAGCCTTGACACATGCTGCCAAGTCACAGCCCATCAATATTTTCATTGACACTTTTTGTGATTTTGCATGGGAATTTTGCAGTGTGGCGCTGTTCTTAAAGTTTCTATCTCTGACCTGGGAGACCAGGGTTTAACTCCCCCTTCATCCATGAAGCTCACAGGTTGACCTTAGCCAGGCATTGTCTCTCAACCTAACCTACCTCACAAGGTTGTTGTGGGGATTGAATGAGGAATGGGGAGAACCATGTACACCACCTTGAGCGCCTTGGAGAAAAAAAGGTAGAAAATAAATGCAATAAATAAAAAGAAATAAGGGGTCTTTTGTGAAATTGAAAGCCCAGCTCTTTCAATTTTCTTGACTCTTAAGGATCCATATTCATTGTTCCCACATTCTGAAGTGATTCTCCTGATCCAAATCTCCAGAATTAAAGTGTGACTCAGAAAATTTATTAACTTTGTTAATTTGATTCCAAAGATTTTATTGAGGGTGTCCTTTATCCCCCTCCCCACTTTTCCCATTCAAGATTTATGCATGGGTTACATTCCGGGCCTCACCACACGTCAGTGAAATGCACGAAGATGGGGAGCACCCTGGAGAGTCCTAGTAGCTCACGAGGAGACCTTCCTCAGAGCCCAAAGAGGCTAGTCAGCCTCCTTTGCTAACAGCAGATGTGCAAGGTAATGTATCAGCCACCACTACTTCCCCATGCATCAGCTGACAAAGCCCTTCTGCACCTCTGGCTCCCAGAGCCCAAAGAGAATGTAGGGGCAGTGGGGCTTTGCTGAGGCTGCTCAGCTGATGTGTGGGGAAGTGGCGGCAGCAGTGGTGACAGCTGATGCACTGCCCCACACATTAGCTGTTAGGTGGGAAGGTGAGCAGCTTCAACAAAGCACCACGCAAGAAAGCCAGGAGGACTCTCCAGGGTGCACCCCACTTCTAGGTTCCAGTTCCAGGTTTCCGGCACCATGAGTGTGCACAGTAACACAAATAAATCATGTGCATATAAGGAGTTGCCTGTATTTCCAGCAGCAGCACTGATGGACATCAAATCACTACCAGATCAACAGGGAAACATTATGCCGAGTCTATTATATACTGCTCAGAGACAGTTGTAATTAAGTGGTATATAAATTGTCAAAATAATAAATAGCAGCCACTGGAGCACTATCTTTTCTCTGCACCGTCACTTATAAGAATTACAGAGAAACCCAAACCATGTCTATTCAGAAGTTCGTCTTATTCAATTCAGTGGCTCTCAGATAAGTGCAGTTAGGATTGCTGCCTCAAAGAAGTAGAGCTGTGCTAAGAAAAACCTTAAAAACTCCCCTCTCCCTGAACATTCATTAGTTAGGGAACTCTTAGAGCATCCAAGGCAGGTTGTCAGAACCATTTTTGAGCTCCTGTGATGGTCTGTTTTCAGCTGATCCTTTGAAATTGCCACATGGCATTGTTATGATGTCAGGTGATTGACATATGGGTGGCCCCTGTCAAAGTTGGCCTGCAAGGGTATGGGTATGGGTCCATTCCACTGGCCAGATTCAGTTTCTCACCATTGCAGTAGGATAAGGGGCAAGCCTCTCCTGAACATTTTGTGTAACCTGCTTGCCCAGCCATGTCTAGAAAGTAGCAGAAATTCAGCTACCCTTAGGAACACAGGGAAAGTTGTGGTTATTTTGGCCAACATGTTTTCTTTCTCCAGGAAGTATGTTGAACAGAATGTCACCTGGATCCTTGGGGGAAGCTAATTACAGGTTTTTCCATTCTCAATTGCATACATTGTGATTGTTATTAAGGTCTCTGAGATGTGCCATATTTTTCTCCCTTTGACCAAGCCACCTCCTGGTTTCCAGAATCTGAATCATAACAAAACACTAACAAAGGCCAAGCTATGTTTTTAAAAACCATGCTTGCTGTTCAAAACTGGAGCTAAGGACCCAGGCTCCAGCATACTCCAGTTCCACATAGTTTTCTGGTATATGTATGTAGATAGAGGATACAGGTTCCAAATATTGCATCAGCAGAGGCTGCTGCTTTTCAAGCCAGACTACTATACATACCTGTTGTTATGACAGAAGGTGGAAAATCTGGCATCTCCACTGAGAGGGGAATGACTATAATTGGGACAGTGTTACTGGAAATGTTTCTAATGCTGTTGCAGATACCTCACAGTGAGTTCCAGGAGCACGCTGCAAGATGTGTCATCCATGACCCCATCTATACTCCTCATAAGTATTATAAGTCAGGTGACCTCATAATTGGTGGGGCTGTCTCTCAGATGCTACTGTTTTTGGATTCATTTTCCTTCACTGAATACCCTCCTTCTGCTGATACTAGCATTCCCATGTAAGGATCTTTTGTTTTTCTGTTATATGCCAAAGGTTGCCAACTGAGGATAAACTTTCAGCACCCTTAATGGAATTGGTAGCACATGTGTGAATGTTTATCAATAGACACTGGAGGGGATGATACTCATAGGGTATTTGAAAAGGCGATATAAATCATTTTTAAGAGGTTTGTGAAACTACAAAGGATTTATTGAATCTCACATATAATCTGACCATTCTAAAATGACTTTTAAATTGAAGTGCTATAATCCCACAATGCCAAGTATAGTGCCTTAGGATCAGGATGTAATAATATATACAGACTATGACGTTCTACATATTGCAGTTCTGTGTGGTTCTGCAAATTTGTAATCCTCTCAGTAGTCTATCAACTACCGTATTTTTCGCTCTATAAGATGCACCAGACCACAAGACGCACCTAGTTTTTGGAGGAAGAAAACAAGAAAAAAAATATTCTGAACCTCAGAAGCCAGAACAGCAAGAGGGATCGCTGCGCAGTGAAAGCAGCAATCCCTCTTGCTGTTCTGGCTTCTGTGATAGCTGTGCAGCCTGCATTCACTCCATAAGATGCAAACACATTTCCCCTTACTTTTTAGGAGGGAAAAAGTGAGTCTTATAGAGCAAAAAATACGGTAACTCACATGTTATTGATTCAGCAGGACAGCTACCAAGCAACTTTACTTATTGTTAAATTTTCTGGTGACCTATCACCTAACTTTTTTCCAGTGTTGTGACAAAGAACTACCAGCATGTCCTGGCCTTGGTGTTTGCTGTAAATGAAATTAATGAAAATCCCAAGATTTTGCCTAATGTTTCCTTGGGATTCCACATCCCTGAGAGCTACTTCAGCCAGAAGCGGAGTTATCACATAGCAGTGGAGCTTTTCTCCACACAGTACAAATTTGTTCCCAATTATAGCTGTGATGTCCAGAACAGCCTAATAGGAGTCATAGGAGGACTAGGCGCTGAAACCTCCCACCATTTGGCTGCCATCTTGGACATCTACAAGTTTCCACAGGTATGATGTGCTCTTGGAACACTGAGTTTTCAGAATTGTGATGCATTATTTGCCTTTTCTTTTCTTGGAGTGTGTTGTATGGTTGCTTGTGCAGGTGTATATTCCATTGAAATGACTGTGGCACAAACATTGATATCTTAGCCAGTACAGTGGTACCTTGGTTTACGAACTTAACCCATTCCAGAAGTCCATTCTTAAAGCAAGTGCGCTTTCCCATAGCAGTGGGGGACTCAATTTACAAATGTCACAGGGAAGTTTACAGCATAAAGAAAAAGAAAAAGAAAAACAAGAAAGAAAGCACCAATAACTCTATTTCCATGAAAACATTTAAAAGGCCATATATTGTCTAATCAGCCAAATGCCAGGTTATAGAGGAATATTTTCACCTGGCCCCTAAATATGTGTAATGAAAGTGCCTGGGAAGAACATTCCACAAAGGGAAAGCCACTGCAGAAAAGGGCCATTCTTAAATTGCCACCGTCTGGACCTCTCATGGAGGGGGCACAAAGATAATAGGCTCAGGTGATGATCACAGGGTTTGGTTGGTTCATAAGGGAATGTATTGAGGTATTGTGGTCCTGAGCAATTTAAAGTTTTATAAGTCAAAACAAGTACTTTGAATTGGGCCCAGAAACTAATTGGCAGTCAGGCCATGATTAGTATTATATGCTTGAACCACCTTGCTTCTTTGGAGCAACCTGGCTGCTAAATTCTGCACGTCTCTCTAAATCTGCTACTTAAGGTGTAGAGGAGCATTTTGCATTGAATGAAGATTCTGAGAAGTTTTCACAAGCAACTCAGATCTTATATTAATTTTAAACAGAATGTTCAGTATCCATAAAATTGCACTAACACATCTATAGGTTTCCAAATAAATTTGTAACACAACTTCCTGAATTTCCCCCCATTTTAGTTCACCTATGGTGATTTTGTCCCCATTCTGAGGGATCACTCTCATTCACTGTCCTTGTATCGAATGGCTCCAAATGAAATCCATCAGTACAAGGGAATTGTCCAGCTACTTCTGCATTTCAAATGGATTTGGGTGGGTCTAATGACCATGGATGAGGAAAATGGAGAATTATTTTTGAGCAACCTACTACCAATACTTTCTCAGAACAGCATCTGTGCTGCCTTCACTGAGAAAATTCCCTCAAAAGGATTTTTTGGTGACATCTTAAATTTCCAAGGAAAGTGGGGAAAAATATTTGTAGATGTTATGAAAAGTAAAGCCAACACCATTATTCTCTATGGAGAAGCTTTGACCATGATAACATTGAGAGGACTGCTGCATGAAGGAGAAGCTGAGTATGGGAAATCATTTGGTAAAGTGTGGATTATGGTAGCCCAGATGGACCTTGTAGCCATATCCATGCACAAGGATTGGGATATAGAAGCCTTCCATGGTGCCTTAGCCTTCACAACCCACTCACATGAGGTGCCAGGGTTCCAAAATTTTCTTCAAAAGCTAAATCCTCATTTGATGAAGGGAAATGGTTTTATCCAACCATTCTGGGAGCAAGCATTCGACTGTTCATTTCCAAATTCCCATTTTAATGGAGATGATGTGGACACTTGTACTGGAGAAGAGAGGCTGCAGAATCTTCCTGGGCCTTTCTTTGAAATGAGCATGACTGGCCACAGTTACAGTATCTACAATGCTGTACAGGCTCTGGCAAATTCAGTACATGCCATGTACCCATCCAAATCCAAAGCAACGGTGGAAAGAAGGAAGCTACAACATAAAGACATGCAGCCATGGAAGGTAATAGTTTTCAAACCATTCTGTTCAACTGACTTCAGCACGACAGCACAAGATCTTAATGCAGCCTTCACTAACCCGATTCGCTTCAGATGTTAATACTATAAATAAAATAACAACACAGAAGCCTTATTGTAAGAATGTAAAAAAATATTGATCACTTCCATAACGTTGCAGACTCAATTAAAAAAGAAAATAGCAGTGAAATAAGTCATATCCTATCCTACAGCCTATCCTTATGACTACATCCTATCCCTATGGCTGCATGATGAGAAAGATACTGTTCCTCAAGTGAAACTAATAAGGATTATCTTCCTACTGTTACCCTTCCTGCCTGGGCAAGCAGAGGATATGACTTCCCAACATGCCCTCTAGGAATTTACAGGAAACTCCATGTGTCTTAGCCCTTTGCTCAGCAAATATGGATTTTTTTCTTTTGACTGGAGCATCATTTACCCATATAATTCAGGGTTGGTTTTTTAAAAAAATATATATGAAAACATTAAAAAAATGAAATGGAATTTTTTCTTTTGACTGGAGCATCATTTACCCACATAATTCAGGGTTTGTTTGTTTTTTTTAAAAAAAAAGTATGAAAACATTAAAAAATGAATAATTTAAAAGTGCAGAAGTTTCATACCCTCCAACATTTCTCCAATGAAAATAGAGACGTCTAAATAATAATAATAATAATAATAATAATAATAATAATAATAATATGCTTCCAACATAGTAAAACATTTAACATTAAAAAACTTCCCTACACAGCATTGTCTTCAGATGTCTTCTAAAGGTTACATAGTTACTTATCTCCTTGGCTTAGGGGCGGCATAACTCCATGTCATGTGACAAAGGTATTTGAGAGCAAAAGCAGTAAAGGAAGCAGTAAAGGAGTCTAGAAATGTTGTGAAATGCTGAAACACTGCAGAATCATTTAGCATGCTGAATCAATGTGACTCATCTTGAGGATGACTCATTCTCTGTATAAGTATTGTATCTGCTTGCAGGCAGACTCTGTCAGTGTCTCAGTGTGTGTGTCTGTGCTCTGTGAAGCCTGTGCTCAATGCAAACTCTGTGTATGCTCTGAAGCTAGTTTAATCTGCTGTTCATTATGCTGTTATTTGCAAACAAGTTTATTTTAACTCAGTAAAGCTTTTATTTTTTTACTGAAGAAGACTCTGTGTTATTAATTTATGCTGTGTGTCACTCCATACTCTCCAGCATTTCTCCAATGAAATAGGGACATCCTACCATAACCTCCAGTATTCCTCCAGTGAAAATGGGGATGTGTTAAGGAAAAGCAGGACATTCCAGGATTAAATCAGAAATTGGAATGTCTTTTGTAAATCTGGGACTTTCCCTGGAAAATAGGGACACTTGGAGTGTCTGAAATCTTGGAAAGGCATGGTAGTAGAGATTTTTTCTTCTTCAACAAATGTCAAAAACATAACATTATTAGAGCTTGTTTCTATTCTAAAGGAAGAGAATTATGGAGGGCTTTAGCCACAAATTTAAAAGCATGTGTGAGTCACAGCATGCTTTAACAAAGGTTATATTTGACAGTATTAATAAATCATCATATACAATGGTACCGTGGTTTGCAACCGTTTTGGATTACAACCGTTTTGGATTACAACCATGTCAAACCCTGAAGTGTGTGTCCCTTTTCTTGGATTACAACCCATTTTTTTGGATTACAACCCCCTTTTCTTTTTGGAGACCCCATTGGCGAAAGTGCTCTTTGGGTTACAACCTTTTTTGATTCACAACCGGACCTCCAGAATGAATTATGGTTGTAAACCAAGATATCACTGTACAGAGCTAAGTGACTGGGGTAAGATGCAAGGGTAGAGGCAATTTCTCATATATTGATGCAATTCCAACATTGATTTATTTTTCCATTCCACCTAGCTCCATCCTATTCTGAGGAGAATCTCATTTAATAACAGTGCAGGAGAAACTGTGCATTTGAATGAGAATGGAGAATTGACAATGGGGTTTGATATTACAAATCTGATTACTTTCCCCAATAAGTCATTTGTTAGAATGAAAGTTGGAAGAATGAATCCTTGGGCTCCTCCTGGCAAAGATTTGAGCATTGATGAAGATGCCATTGTGTGGCCTAGAAGTTTTAACCAGGTGGGACAACACTATAGCCTTTAGCTGCCATAAAATAAAAGGAGGGAGGGAGAGGAGAAACAATCATTTGTAGCTTCCTTAATAAAATATTTTTATAGTCCTTGTCCCAGTATGTTTATATTGAATGATTTACATAGTCCAAAGAATATTTACTTGCACACTGTTCTGCTGTTTCCTGCTGAAAATATGAACATTTTCCTGTATAGTTTATTTAATATATAGAAATTTATCACAGATATGTGTTTTTAATTAATGCTGTGTTTGAAAATTGCACATATTTTATCAGTAACTTGAGATTCAAAAAGTCAAAGACAAAAAAAGTTATTCCTGATGTTAAGTCAGAATCTCCTTTTTTGTAACTTGAAGCCATTGGTTTGAGTTCTACCCTCCAAAGCAGGAGAAAAAAAGCTTGCCCCATCTTCCACGTGATAGCCCTTAATATATTTGAAGATAGCTATCATATCTCCTCTCAGTCTCCTCTTTGCCAGGCTAAACATATCCAGCTCCTTCAACCAAACTGGCACAGTAATCCAGGTGTGATCTGACCAAGGCAGAATAGCTTGTCCAATGGTGTTTGTATTCAATATACTCAAACATCTGCCATTGTTTAAAACCACAAAATTACTCTCAGTTTTCTCCATCCGTACTTTACTTCAACTTTTTATAGAATCTAGTCTGAGTAGATTAATGAAGGCAGAGAATACTAGCAGCACAGAGCCAAAGCCTGGCCATTAAAGATCTCAGTTCAAGACAGTTCACCAACTTATGAGCAGCTGCATTAATATGACAGAATCTGATGATTATACTGTGAATAGTGATGTCATCATACTATTTTAAATATATATATTCTCAATTCTAATCATTCATATTCCCTGAATAGGTGATGCCCCTTTCACTCTGTAATGATAACTGTCAACCTGGTTACCAAAAGAAGAAAAAGGAGGGGGAGCCATTTTGCTGCTATGATTGTATTCCATGTCCAAAAGGGAAGATTTCTCATAAGAAAGGTAGAATATGCAGTACCTGGTGTAATCTAGCAATCCACCTTCATTAGTATGGCACAAAGGTCCTGTTAGTTAAAGTGGTTTGTAGTAGGTGATAGTAGTCATTACTGGGAAACAATCCTGATATCAACTAATTCAAAACAGTAGTTATGAGCACTTCTCACCTAGGGACCAAAAGAATGAAAGAAATGCATCTATCATTGAATACCAAATACTGGGCGCTTTTCTTAAAGGGAAGTACAGTGGTACCTCGGGTTAAGAACTTAATTCGTTCTGGAGGTCCGTTCTTAACCTGAAACTGTTCTTAACCTGAGGTACCACTTTAGCTAAAGAGGCTTCCTGCTGCCGCCGTGTTGCTGCCGCACGATTTCTGTTCTCATCCTGAAGCAAAGTTCTTAACCTGAGGTACGATTTCTGGGTTAGCGGAGTCTGTAACCTAAAGCGTCTGTAACCTGAAGCGTATGTAACCCGAGGTACCACTGTAGTTCTTTGATCTAGGAAGGAAGAATAAGGAATGGAGGCAAGGTTATTCTAGTAATATTTCTATAAATGCACTTCTACATATTGAATCACAAAATTGTGGAATCATAGAAGTGAAAAGTTGGAAGGGAACTCAAGGGTCATCTGGTCCAACTCCCTGCATTGCAGGAATATCAGCTAGCTCATACATAACAGATGGCCATCCAACCGCTGCTTAAAAACTTCCAAGGAAGGAGACTTCCTTGAAGGCAGCCCTATTTAGGGAAGCTTTTCATGTTTAATAGACTATTGTGTTTTAATATTCTGTTGGAAGCTGCTTAGAGTGGCTGGGGAAACCCAGCCAGATGGGCGGGGTATAATAAGTTGTTGTTGTTGTTGTTGTTGTTGTTGTTGTTGTTGTTACCCTCCAAGGTACTCCATTCCACTGTCAAACAACTTTTACTGTTAGAAAGGTCTTCCTGATATTTAGTTGGAATCTCCTTTCTTGTAACTTGAATCCATTGGTTTGAGTCCTACCCTCAGTAGTAGGAGAAAACAAGCTTGCTCCATCTTCCATGTGACAGCCCTTTAGATGAAGACAACTATCATATGTTTCCTCAGTCTCCTGAGGGGATGCTCAACCATTCCTCATCAGGCTTGGTTTCTAGACCCTCAGTCATCTTAGTTGCCCTCCTCTGCACACTTTCCAGCTTGTCAATATCATTCTTAAATTGTGGTACCCAGAACTGGACACAGTATTCCAGGTATGTTCTGACCAAGGTAGAATACAGTGATGCTATTACTTCCCTTGGGTTGCATGGCAGAGATACCTCATCCTGAAAGCTAGTGCAAATTTCTCTGTTACTTGCTAAATTCAACTTGGTAGAAACATTAGTAAGTAGTCATGGGAAAGCTTGCCTTAGAATACCATTGATACCAAGTGATAGGTTAGTTCTGTTATTCACTTACTTTGAAAGTTGTGCATCAACACACAGACCCTTTTGTCTTCTTAAAGGGAAGACAACAGCATAATTTGATTTTTAGAAGGGGAAATTTATTCCTAAACCTGATTGTTTGTAGAAATAGAACAAATGGCTTCAACTGCAAAAAGCAACTTCTAAAAAGTTTTTCATCTTTTTTTCCAGATGCAGATTTTTGCACAATGTGCCAAAAAGATCATTATCCAAACAAAGTAAAGAATCGCTGCATTCCAAAGCTAATAACCTTCTTGTCTTATAAGGACCCTTTGGGGATGCGTTTAGCCATCTTTGCACTTATATTTTCCTTGATCACTGCTCTAGTGCTAGGAGCCTTTATAATGCACCACGACACTCCTATTGTCAAAGCCAACAACCGGAGCCTCACCTATACTCTCCTAATGTCCCTCCTGCTTTGCTTCCCTTGTGCTTTGCTGTTTATTGGCCATCCTGTGAAGGTGATGTGTCTCTTCCGTCAAGTTGCATTTGCCATGGTCTTCTCAGTGGCTGTCTCTTCTGTGTTAGCAAAAACCATTACGGTGGTTCTGGCTTTCATGGCCACCAAGCCAGGAAGTAGCATGAGGAAATGGGTAGGGAAAAATGTGGCCAACTCCATTGTTCTTCTCTGCTCTCTTGTTCAAGGAATTATTTGTATCGTATGGCTGGCAATTAATCCTCCATTTCCAGATATTGACATGAATTCAGTAACTGAAGAAATTGTACTTGAATGTAATGAGGGGTCTGTGACTATGTTCTACTGTGTCCTGGGTTACATGGGCTTCCTGGCTATTGTAAGCTTCTCTGTAGCTTTCCAGGCTAGAAAATTACCTGACAGTTTCAACGAAGCCAAACTAATCACTTTTAGCATGCTTGTGTTTTGCAGTGTTTGGTTATCCTTTTTTCCCACCTATCTGAGCACCAAAGGAAAATACATGGTAGCTGTGGAAATCTTCTCCATCTTAGCCTCCAGTGCTGGGCTTCTGGGCTGCATCTTCTTCCCTAAATGCTACATTATTGTGCTGAGGCCAGAACTGAACAAAAGAGATCTCCTAATAAAGAGAAATGTTCACTGATGTGTGGGTGCATTATGCAACCCTTACAGTGGACCAAAGTTGCAGAGTAGTCTTCTAGCATGACATCCATTCTCAGGTTTTTAGATATTTGCAGTTGTATATGAAGAACACACACCCCTTTTAAATTAGCTGATATAGATTCTTCTAGTTCCACAGGATCCCATTATTGTTTCTGGAACCATTTGATGACTTCTGTTTTCTTCCTTCTTCTGCTCTTGAAGGCAAGGCTTGCAAAGATTTGTGTTCTTGTGTTTGCTTGTTTGTTTGTTTGTGCATGTGCGTGTGTGTGTGTTATTTTATTTCTCTGCTAAAATGTTTGTAGACATCACTGTCTTGAATTTAGGTGAGTTGGACATTTGTTATTCTCACAATATTTAAATACCAATTCCTGGAGAAGACAGCAGTGTGGGCATGGCAGTGTTTGATAAAGGCTCTTCACTTCAAACTGAATACATCAAAGAACAAGCAGTGAACAGTTGTTCTTTATTATAAACATCCACAAAAGCCAAGGAAAACAGGATGAGCCAGCAGAAAGAGGAAAGTTTTAAAGCACAACTTCAGTGATGAAGAAAAAAAATGTAATAATAAAAAAACCACTCTAGAAGGAACTCTGACTCAGACTCACCAGCTTCCACCAATCCAGAGAAGCAGCTAAGAATTGATGATATGCCACTGAGAGGCCTTGGACTAATCTACACTGGTGAGTTATAATGTTATAAACACGTTATAAAAATGTGACACCAGTGGGACAATGTATAGCAGTCAATGGAAAATTTAAGTGACAGCTCTCTCTCCCTCTCCCTCTCTCTCTCCCTCTCTCTCCCTCTCCCTCCATTTTTCTTTTTTAGATCACTGTAGAACCAGGCCTGGTGAATTATTTCCCCCTTCTCTCAGAAAATGGACTGTTGTCTTTAGAAGCAGCAGGAACCAACAAAAGCCAAATTTCATCCCCTCTCCCCCCCTCTCCCCAGAGTTACTGCAGTTATTACCAAAGTTGTAATTGATAGTTTGCGCTTTTACCTTGTGTTTGTATCATGTAAACTGCCCGAAGAACTTGTGATGAAGGGTGGTATATAAATCAAATAAAATGTTTAAAATGCATCCACATATAGTTGGGAGGTATTTATTTTGTTTTGTTTTGTTTTCAAGAAACTTGTGAATCAGGCAGGAAAAAATACATTGTTTACGCAGTCATGGGCTGGCCAAAAGTTTACAGCAAGTGGTTCCTCAAAGTTAGAAGGGTGACTTTGTTAATATATAATTTTCAGTCAACAAAAGTATTGAGGGATGCACATGGAAGATATATTTTTGTTCAAAGTATTATTGATGGACCACATCTATTTATTCACCAAATAGTAGCCAATAACCCTTCCTGCAAAAAAACTCTGGCCAAACTGAAAATCCTCTTCAAATAATGTAATAATCGGTGGCGATCTTATTGGAACATAAAAGAATTAACAGGTAAGGACCTGGCTAATTCCACATGGAAAAAGAAATGTAGAAATGCAAGATAATTTAAGAATGGTAGAGACCAACTGAAACAAATAAGGATGCTACAAAAGTAGGAACTGAGGTATGTTTGCCAGAAGGTGAGTCCAGGAGACTCCACTCATGTAGATAGGTCCCTGGTGTACAGCTCACAATACAGAGTAGATTTCCCATTAACATCCACCCCACTCTTAAATGCAGTGAAAAGAACACAAACAGGAGAGATCAAAATAACAGATCATGTCCCAGTATCCAGAAAATTTGAATTCATTCCAGCTGAACATGCTACTCCAGTATGGTATTTCACCCCTATTCTCAATCAATCAATAAGAGAAAGTCTGACTAAAACAGTGCATTTTTTGTTTTTGTTTTTTTAAGGAAAGAATGAGTTATGGCTCATTGTGGGATGAGGGCACTGAAGACAGTGATGAGAGGGGCATCTATACGGGGAAAATCATACTTAAAAGATCACATAGGACACAAAAATCACAACTGCAGCAGGAAGTTCCTCTTCTGGACCAAATACAAAGAGTTATGGGATCAAGATTTTTTTTTAAATCACAGATAAGGCAGAAATAATTGGAAACCACAGAAATAAAGAAGACAGTGATAAAGTCGTATTTAAAACAAATAATGTATGAATTTTGAGGAATGGGGTCTAAGTTCTTAGCCACAAGATTAAGAAATAAAAGAAAAGAGGCAACTATAGCTGCCATTAGACTAAAACAGGAGAAAATGTCTTTTCTACAAAACAAATTTGTGAAGACTTTAAATAATTTTTCTCCTCTATACTTCCTCAAAATCCACCACCCTTATAAATGATACAAATAGAGAAGTGGGGTTAAGATCCCCTGGGGCCTGCTGACCAATCAGACAAGTGTGGGAACCAGCCATATAAAGGCTATCCCACCCACTGTGATATTTCTACCATGGTTCACATCCCACAAGTCTTTATTTATGGGTGCACAGGAAATTATTATAACTATCAGTACTGAAATGACTAGTTTAAAAACTGCTTCTCATTTAAACAGTACTACCATTCTTAAGAAGACTCTCCTGACCAATAGATCATATGATTTCAAAAACATCAATAAAAATGCCATACTCTTAGATTTAGTTTTATTTTACTAATATCTCTTTATTATCTGCTCCTTCTTGTTCAGTTCTGGCCTCAGGATTATTATGTAGCATTTGGGAGCAAAGATACAACCTAGTAACCCAGCACTGGAGGACAAGATGGAGAAGATCTCCACAGCCACCATGTATTTTCCTTTTGTGCTTAAATAGGAAGGAACAAAAGACATCCAAACACTGCAGAAAACCAACATACTGAAAGTGATGAACTTGGCTTCATTGAAGCTGTCTGGCAACTTCCTGGCCTGAAAAGCCACAGTGAAGCTAACAATGGCTAAGAATCCCAGGTAGCCCAGAACAGAATAAAACATAGTGACAGAACCTTCATTGCATTCCACTACAATTTCTTGAGTAAGGGAGTGCATGTCAAAATGTGCAAATGGGGGAGTAGTGCATAGCCACACAGCACAAATAGTAGCTTGAATAAAGGAGCAGCCAAGAATGATAGTGTTTGTGAATCCTTTCCCCACCCATTTTCTCATGCTGCTCCCTGGCTTGGTGGCAACAAAAGCCAGAATCACAGTTATCGTTTTTGCCAATATGCAGGAAATAGCTACAGAGAAGATGACACCAAAAGCAGTTTGTCTTAAACAGCAGTTCACTGTTTGGGGCAGGCCAATGAATAACAACGAGCAGAGGAAGCAGAGTAATAGTGCGATAAGCAGAGAGTAGGTGAGGTTTCGATTGTTGGCTTTGACAATGGGAGTGTTCTGATGCTTAGCGAAGACTCCAAACACCAAAGCTGTGATCAGAGAAAAAGACAGAGCTAAGAAAGTTAAAAGGATCCCCAAAGTTTCTGTGAATGAGAGGAAGTTGACTTTCTTTGAAAGGCACTGATCTTTGTTCCTGTTTGGATACTGACCTTCTGGGCATTTTGAACACTCATCCACGTCTAGAAACAAAGAAGAAAAAGAAGTTTATGTGTCTATCCCTGCAGCATGTCATAACTTTTCTTTTTTAAAATATTTGCACTCTCTGTCCAATTAACTTAATAGATCTGTCTCTAATGCTTTGCGTTCTGTGCATATATTGCTTTAATTTGAAACCACAGCTCTGTTCAGAGGTTTATGCCAATGATTTATGCCAATGATTAACTTTGTGTGGCAGAGGAAGTGGAGGGTGGATATCCCTATCACCCTCCATGTGTTGAGGGCAACTCCTTGCAGTGGGCACATGTGTAGCCTCCCCATGCATTTAAAACCTTGATTTTCCAGAGAGTGGGGGGAGGGATAGCTCAGTCGGTAGAGCCTGAGACTTAATCTCAGTGTTGTGGGTTCAAGCCTCATGTTAGGAAAAATGTTCCTGCATTGCTCTCTGTGGATTTATAATAATTCTGGGCTGTAATATTTGGTCTAGACTTTTTCAACATGTTCAGGGAGTGGAGTGTGTGGCAAAATTAAAGCTGAATTAAAGCAGTATTTTTTGGGTGAGTACAAATTTTACCTATTGTCAGGGACTGGGAGTTTCCTCGTACATTAAAGATAGCCCCAATAAAATAGATAATATTTGCCATCCCAGTGCAAAAGTGACATTTGCAGGGTAACCGATGACCCTGTGAAACTGGGGTTCTGAAATGGTGAGCTGATTTGATACTATATCTCTCTAAATACTGGATTTGTCTAGATACCTTGTTTAGATACCAGAGAGAAGGTTGATAAGCTTGCTGACCTCTGCAGCCTTCCAGCAGGGAATTTTACATTGCAGTGATATTCAAGGCATAACAAGGCAAGGCAAAACATACATTATTTGTACAAGATGGATCAGCCTCAGCCAAAAGTTACAAAACAGGGCCATGAAGAGGACCGGGGGCTATGAACAACTACATCAATTACCAAAAGCAGTTAGATGGTGTTATGATTTACCAGTATGTATCAAGATTATACCAGTATATTTACCAGTATATATCAGCAATGTTTATGTCATGTGGAATTTTAGGGACATATACTGTCATACCTTAATAAATATTTTCTTTACCAGAATGAAGATAATGTTTTGTTATTAATTAAATATAAGTATTCAGGGCTATACGTCTGCAGCATGTTAGGGGCATACATCATGGCTGGCTTGTCACCATCCCAGACCTAATTTAGAGAACTCAATTGATAATAAACCCAAACCAATGAAAAGTATTTTAAATTGCTTATATCTTAATGCTGCACATTATATGTCCTACCCTTCTGGTCTGAAATCTTCCCCTCTGGGCATGGGGCACAATCGTAGCAACAGAACTGCTTTCCTTCCTTCTTCTTTTTGCTGTATCCTGGATGACAATTGTCATTACACACAGCAAGAGGCAGCACCTATCCATAAAAAATGGGGGGTGGGTGGATCTGTTTTAAATGAATTTGTAAACATAGGGTTGCATCCAGTGCTAGTCAGACTCTAAGTAGACTCATTGAAATTAAGGAACCTAAGTTAGCAATCTACATTAACTTCAGTGGGCCTATTCTAAGTAGGGCTAGCATTGAATACAAGCATAATTCGGCAGTTTCCATCTGATCATGTTTGTTCACATTAGACTGTCAAATTAGCCTGAGCATGCTCTTAAGTTTGCCACGCCCATGCGTTGTTTGTTTTTGAAATCCAGACTAATACTGTGTACAGTTATGAGCAAAAATATGGGGTGTGTGTGTGTGTGTTATATGTGTGTGTGAGAGAGAGAGAGAGAGAGTGAGAGAGAGTTTCATATTGATTTCCTTTTAGCTTTGCATATGAGAACTAATTGAATGTATGCGTATGTATGTGTTGCTAATTGAGTATATGTGTGCTGCTATACTTATCAGGCGGCAGAGGAACCAACCCCCACGGCAGATTGTTAGGAACGGATAAGGCAAGGGAAAGTCCTTACCACCTGCTTTTTATACAATATTTACAGAGAGAGGCTTGAGAATGCAGCCTCTTGGAATAATGGTGCTGTCCCAAGTGAGTCTCCATCCTCACCCTCCGTCTCTCCTACTTCCTCATGCGTCATCACCATGGGTGCTGAAAAGTGCCCTCTGCCTTTGAGCTCTTTGCTCTCCTACTTTCAAGGCTCACAGAGTTTTGGGAGAGGAGGAATTCTGGAATGCTTTCTAAAGACACTGTGTCTGTCAGCTGCCGCCGCCACCCCCGGTGCTTCCTCCTCCTCTTCTTCTTCTTCCTCCTCCTCTCCCATTATTTCCCAGCTTTCCCCCTCATCTGCCTCTGAGCTGTGATCTCCCTCAAACCCCTGTTGTAATTCTGAATTGTCTTCTTCTTCTCTGGAAGGTTCAGGCTGGGGAGACGGTCTCCACTATTCCTCCTCTGACCTGTCCCTGACAATACATATATACAGTACTATACTAAACAGTCAGATCCCACCTGATTGAACGTGCTGTCCCATCTGATGGCCTTTTCATCCAGAATGAACTCTTGCTCTTGTGACAATTGTGGATCCATCCTTCCCACTTTTACTTTTAAGAAGGATTGGTTTGGGGAAATAACCCAGTTTATAATGTCAAAGCCAGCAGTTAATTCACCATTTTCGTTAAATGTGATGGTATCCCCAGCACTGTTGTTAAATATGATTTTGCTTAGGAAAGAGTGAAGCTACATTGAAAAAGTCAAATACAAATGAGAGAGATATTACCATTAATTAAGCACAGAGTTATGTTTCTTCCTGCAGCAGATCCTCTGTTGTACTTGGTTTTTGTGAGTAGCTGCATCCTTCTGTAAGGATATTTGATTTTTTTCAAGTTCTTCACATGCTTCTAATCAAAGGCTTACTACTGTAAATAGGTGTTGAAAATTGGCTAATTTGGGCTGGGAATTGTGTTTCTTTTAACATTGCATTTCACCCAGAAAGGGTAAATCTAGAGCATATATGGACGGGGTGGATACACTCTCTTATTCTGATGACAGTAATGTCATGTAGATTCCGTAATGGAATTATAGCTCCTACAGTGGTGACATTTGTTTGGAAAGTAGCTGAAGTCATGAGTCTATCAACAAAGGACTTTGAATATTGGTGGAAAGGAACTGGAATTATACAAATTAAGCAGATCCACTGTCTACTTCCAACTGGACCATACAAAGAAAAAGCATGGGGTGTATATATGATTTATGGATTTACATGATCTCACTGCTCCTCAATTAGTGAAGAAGAGAAAGCATCAGAACATGAGAAAAACCAAGTTTTTAAAGAAAGAGATGTGGCATATTTTGTTAAGAGTTCCTTCTCTTACTATACTCAGTTAACCAAAGGGCATCACATATCAGCCTGGCCATGACAGAAGAATGACTTCATGTGAAACATTACCTGCCAGGATTGACAATTTGGAAGACTCATTCTACATTTGTCCACCATTGTTCTGTGTTTGGATCTCAGTGTGAACATCTTACGTATAGCATATGCTATGGCATAGACTGCATTGTAGATGCTGTAGCTTTTAGCGGTCATGTCCATTTCAAAAAAAGTCCCAGGGAGGTTTTCCAGCTTCTCTCCACCAGTACAATGATCAGTATTTTCCTTGTTCTCCTTAGATAATAAGCAGCTAAATGCCCTTTCCCAGAAAATTCTGATGAACCCATCTCCTTTTGCTGTGCTAGGATGTAATGTTTGAATGAATTCTCTAAATCCCAACACTTCATTTGTGTGAATTGCAAAAGATAACGTGCCATCAAATGTCCTTATATCAAAGTGCCTCTGCAATGATTCCAATGAGAAATCCCATTGGGCTGTCATAATCCATACTTTGCCTATTGATGCCTCTGTTATATCTTCCAGTACTGAATAGAAATATGCGAACCACATCAGCCATGTAGTGGTCTGAGGCTCTGCATTTACAACAAATACTTTGACTTTTGAGTTGGTTAGTGAAGTGGCCTTGGCCTGGATGGCATATGGTGATTGCATTGCCTCTATATTTTGAGAAATAGTTACTGCCTTTTCTATGTGGGCTGTACAGATTCCATGCCGAGTGAGCATTGGCATCATGGTCTGCAGAAATTTTTCTCCATCATCATCGTCTGATACAATGATCCCAATCCACGTCCATTGGAAACTCAAGAGCAGCTTGACAATCCCTTTGTACTGATATTCTTCATTGGGCACCATTCGATAGAAAGAAGGGAACTGGGTTTTCATGCAAATCACTGGAGCTATTACACAATAGGCAATCTAAGCAAAGAAATTTGTTAGAAAATAAAACTTTTCTTAAAATACAATTACTTATTCCAAATGTGTAATAAGGAAAAGCCAAGTAGAAAATCCTGATTTAAAAGTATCCTAGTGTTATTACTTGGGAAAAATGTGAAAGGTTTCATTGAATAATGTTTTTGAATTGGGTTTATTATCTTTTATAACCTAAAGCTTTCCAAACTTTTATGCCAACCTCTTTGCTATCTTTCAAGGTTAAACTGCAACTCTTAGGCAGTTACTCTTATCTGGAATTAAATCCCACTAAGCAAAACAGAATTTACTTCTGATAAAAAGGAAGATAGAAACCTATGGACACTTTTTACCTCTTCATAGTGAGAGATTATTTCTGCTGCTGCTACTGTTATTATTATTATTATTGAATTTTGTGAACTAATTCTTTAGTTTTATCTTGGGTATCTGGTTGTGAGATAAATTAATATATATTACTTTAATTTGGGGAGAAATGCTGAATTTATTATTCAACCAAACAAGATTTCTCTCTGTGTGTCATCTGAAGTAACAACTTTCAGTGACTTAACATTTCATTTCCTTGATATCTATATTGCTAGTAATAATGGGAATCAGCACCAGCAGCTATATGATGAGTAAAGTAATTTGATGGACACACTTGGTTATCATGGGAGATGAAAACCATGTCACACAGTAAAACGTCACTGGTTTCTCATAGGATATTGTAATCTTCTCCAATCTGGTGTCCTCTAGATGTCATTGGACTTAAATTCCCAGCAGCATTACCAACCGTTAGTAAAATGTGACATTGCTGCAATCTCTCCAGGACTGCTGGTCTGGAGGAAGCACCCAGCCAGGTGCAATAGCTCATGCTGGCTGGGGATGATGAGAGTTGTAGTCCAACTTCTTGGACAGGAATAAATGAGAATCATTGCTTTGTTGTACCTAAGCAGGGGATCTTCAAAATATGTGTTCTCAGTTACACATCTCTTTCAAAGAAGACCAAAGAAAAATAAAGGTTTGCGTATACATTTAAAGGTTATTTCAATAGCCAACCTTGTGCCCTCAGCCACAGCCACCTTGAGGCATACCCACCATGATAAGCGGTGATAGAAGTAACAGTCCAACAATATTTGGAAGGCAGCACATTGGCTACCCCTTTGTAAAATATTACCCCATTAAAAAAAATAATCAAGAGCCATGCACACATTGTACCTGTGGAATCTTGTAAATACCCAGGATAATAGCCATATGTAGGGAGACTTCAGAATCTAGTCCTCCAATTATAGCTATCATATTCTTTTTGTTGTCACATTTGAAGTTGGGGACAGTCCTTTCTGAGGTGGACAGAAGTTTCAGGATGTTTTGATGAGTCATCCTTGCATTTGTGTAGCTGTCATAGATTTGAAACCCCAGGCTGACATTTGGTATGATTTTTGCATCCTCATTGATCTCCTTCACTGCAAATACTAAGGACAGGACATGCTGGTAGTTTTTCACTGCCAAACTAAAATAAAAGTTACATTGTGAATCAAACAGATATTCAACATCACATGAAGCACATATTTGAAAGAATGCCACAGTGTACATTAATGCAGTGTGTGTGTGTGAGAGAGAGAGAGAGAGCATGCACACGTGCACACATATGCATATGGGGGGAGGGTATAAAAATATAAAATAGACACATTCTTTTGAAGAGTGTTGATTGAGATTAGAAAGTTTTTTCAGGTGGTGATCAACCATCTTTTATATCATATAATCCAATTAATATTTTTAAAAATATTAATTTACCATAAGGACAAAAATCTTTTATATTCCTCAATGTGCATGCTTTTTTTCATGAATTCAATTAAAATAAGATGTTTCCATTAATGTTTTCTCTTTTTAATTTACCATCTCTCAATCTGTGTAAGCTTATGCAATACTGTATGTGTTTTATGTATTGTATATTCATTTATATTTCTATTAAACAAGTCACACAGACTATTTTCTGAACGTGCATATTTTTCTACAAAATATTTTTAATTATGGTGACATGATCTATTGCATATTTTAAATTTAAACAATAAGAACCATCCCCTTACGTAATTTCATCTACAAATTTTGTTGTTGGGTGTTCACTGAAGGTTATTTCCTCAAACATAAAGCCAAACAGAGTAGCCATTTCTCCAATGATAAAGTCCCCTGCCTGATAATACTTATATTGGAAGTGAAAGAGATCCATCATGGAACACATAAGACTGTGTGCCTTGCATTCAGTTGGAGGCATCAGCATCCACAGAAAGATCAGAAGCAAAAAAAGTAGCATTGCCATCTGTGGGTAAACTTTGACTCAGAATATTCAGTCTGTATCTATCATCCTCCATCAGCTTGGATGCAAGTTTCAGTGGCTCTAGCTTCTCTTGATAAAACAAAACTGCCCACTATCAGGCTGGTATATGTCTGCTTGATCACAATCCATCGTAGTGATATTTTAAATACACATTCTAAATATATTATTCATATATTTTAAAAAATATAGGGCATTTAATATATATGGGGGAAATTACATGGAAGAATGAATTCAAGCAATTTTTAAAGATAATTCTAGTGTTTATTGTCATGCCCCTGGGGTATTGTGCTGTGCAGCAGAAGGCCAAAACATGCCTAGAATTCACTGTAAGTTAGTGATACATTCATGACATTCTGTTTCATTATGACTGCTGCATTGTGGCTACAGATTAAAGTAGTTTGAGATATTATCAATAAATGTAGTTTTTATTGGTTTTCAGGAGCTGCAACTTGCAGCTTGTATAGAAGAGTTATTGTACCTTGATTAGTATAGGGATAACAGAAATATGTGCAGAGCTGATATATTGGAATGGTGCTGAGAGCAGGCTGTGTTACAGGAAATATTTCATTCAAATCAATGTGTGATAGTGTGCAGTTCTTTCCCATTGTGGGTGAGTGGAAGGCTGGTCTTCTGCATGTCCAGAATGAGAAGTGGTGAAGGGCACATATCTCATGCAAGCTGGCCAGTGGGAAATGGGTACAGCTTGACTTTAAAGGCTGGGTATTCGTCTTCCTACAGGAGTTGCAAGGCCGGTTGGCACCTATCCAGTTGCTGCAGCATGGGATTATTTATTTGCCTCCAAAAGGGGGGGAGGAGTAAGACTTTTGTCCCTATGTCCCAAATCAGCTACACACATTCTTATTTTTGCCCACTCAGCAAAGCAATTCTGGATGAGTAGCTACCCCCTATACCAGATGGACCACATGGGTCAGCTACATGAATCTGTGGTTAAATCAGTAGGTCACAACTGGCAGGAACAGTGTGTATTAAAGAGGGAAACAGAAAGATGATGTTGGTGAACATCTTTCAGTCACTGTTTGGAGAGGAAAGGGGTGGTTCTGTTAACCCCTAAAGGGTTACTGGTGCTGAGGCACATTTGGGAGGGGTGGGTTCAAATGAAGGTGGTGGCTGGGCAGCTTCAGGAGGAAATAGACTATCCTGATCCATTTTAATCTGACTTCAGGCCTGGGTTTGGGATTGAAAGAGTCTTGGTTGCACTGAGAAAACTTTACTGGCAGAACAATGAGCAGGGGCTGCTTTTCGGTAATTCTCCTGGATTTCTCAACATCGTTTGATGCCGTTGACTTTGGGATCCTACTAAATTAAGTGTGTGGGCTGAGAAGCGAGTTTCTGGTAATCCCTACAGGATCATTTCCTCTAGAAAGTGGCATTGTGGGAATACTGTTTGATCCCATGGCAGTGAAAACATGTCTTTAATTTTTTTTTTCTGCCTGGAGTGCACAGGACTCCAATTACGTAGCAGCAATATAATGACAATTTAGAGCAGGGATGTCCAACAGATCAATCGTGATGTACTGGTAGATCCCCAGGAGGTTTTGGTAGATCGCAGTCAATCACTGGGTCCCTTTCCTTAGCGTTGGTAAAAGAGAATCCGGCCCTGCCCCCTTGCCCCACCCTCCATTGTTGCACGATCTGCAGAACGGAAGACTGAGTTTACTCAGTGAGGCAGCTTGTTTCTCCAGTGATCTGTTGTTGAGTGGCTGTTCCCCTTTCTCCCTTGAGCTTAGGCTTGAATTCTCAAAAACCGGGGCTTTCCTCCTCCTTAAAAGTAGCTCAATGACTTTGACCTTAACCCTCCAAAAATAGGGCTTTCTTTCCTAAAAAAAAGCTCAACAACTTTGACCTAAGCCCAAAAAGGGGGGTAGACCACTACCAGTTTTTAATTCTGCGAGTAGATCGCAGTCTCTTGGGAGTTGGCCACCCCTGATTTAGAGGGTGCTACAATAAAGGGACCATTAGACAGCCCAGTTAATTTGGTCCATTACAGGTTTTGCATAACTTCTATTCACAAATGATTTTATATGTAAATTAATTTTCTATTTATTTCTTAGAAACAGCAAAATAAATTAATTTTTGTAAAAATAGCAAAATTGCACTGTGTGCTCTTGTACAGAATTACAGCAGGGAGAACCTTACATGAAATTTAACTTTTAGTAATAAACCTTTGACTTTTGTACAGTATCTCACAGCCTATTCTAGGCTGAACTACATATAGCTGAGTAACACAAACTCACACAGACATTTCACCAAAGTTACAACTATTGCGCAATTTTTTTGTGGAGGGAATCAACCATTATCACAAATAATACCTAAAGAGCTATTTCCAATGTGATTTTTCCCTGCTGCCATAATTAAGAGGAATGAGCAGCATCAATTTCCCAAGACCTTACAGAAACAGGTAGATTGTTGCTAATTTCTTTTTATTAGTTGGTCCTTGCTGTTCAGCTCAGGTCTTATAATAATTATGTAGCATTTAGGGGCAAAGATACAACCTAGTAATCCAGCACTGGAGGCTAAGATAGAGAAGATCTCCACAGCCACCATGGATTTTCCTTTGGTGCTCAGGTATGCTGGAACAAAGGACACCCAAACACTGCAAAACATCAACATGCTAAAAGTAATGAACTTGGCTTCATTGAAACTATCTGGCAACTTCCTGGCTAGAAAAGCTACAGTGAAGCTAACAATAGCCAAGAATCCCAGGTAACCCAGGACACAATAAAACATAATGGGCGACCCTTCATTACATTCTACAATGATTTCTCCAGCCAGAGAGTACATGTCAAAATCTGGGAATGGAGGAGCAATGCAGAGCCATACAGCACAAATACAGGCTTGAATAATGAAACACCCCAAAATAATACAGTTTCCCAATCCTTTCCCCAACCATTTCCTCTTCTTGGATCCTGGCCTAGTAGCCATGAAAGCCAGAACCACTGTGATTGTTTTTGCCAAAATACAAGAAACAGCCACTGAGAAGATCATACCAAAAGTGGTTTGTCTTAAATAGCAGGTCACTGTGTTAGGATGGCCAATGAATAGCAAGGAGCACAGGAAACAGAGTGATAGAGAAATGAGTTGACAAAAGGTGAGATCCCGATTGTTGGCTTTGATGATGGGAGTATTACTATGTTTAATGAAAATTCCTAACACAAAAGCTGTTGCTAGAGAAGAAGACAAAATGAAAAAAGATAAAGTGATGCCCAAAGGTTCTGTGAAAGAGAGGAAGTTCAGTTTCTTAGGGAGACATTTATCTCTGTTTTTATTTGGAAATTGACCCACTGGACACTGGAAACAATAGTCCATATCTGAAAAATAGAACAAATGCTGTGTTAGTCATTAGTCCCTTAGTAATTAATGATGGGCAAGCTGTGCTATTCTCAGTACAAAAATGAACTGCCATTTATCATTATAAGACAAGATTTGAAAACAATCTTATTTCCCCACCCACAACAGTCCTATGCTGATATTTCAGCATTTTAAAAAAAATCTTGACTAATTAAATGCATAGTTTGTTAAACACTCAGACTACAGATGAGCAAATCTGTATTTCCAGACCGTGTCACTTTTGCATGTTTTGATCCCAGAAGACTATTCTTCCCAAGACCTCAGTGATTGGGAAGGGATATAAGTTATCAAACCGTTCCAGAAGTATCTTTGACCCAAGTTGTTAAGGGTATTTTAAATTAATACAAGAATCTTCAACATTGACCAGTAGTGTATAGGCAACCATTGCAAGCTTTTGAGCACCCACGTTTTGTGATAGCCGGTGCCCTTCAACAGTTTTTATAAACCAGAGTAACCAGGGTGCATTTTTAGGTACACTTCCAATGCCTACACCAAACTTGCTTTCATCTGTAATCAATAAAGTTGTGGCCTAAATGGATCCCAATACATGTTTCTTCTGTTGGTTGTACTACATTGCATACACCCTGCACAGCCTTCACTGCACCTGGGTCCAAAATCACCACATACGTATCAAATAGGCATGAATGGGATTGTGCTAGCACTGGTGGCATGTCATTCATGACCCTAAACATTTTCCACCTACACTTCTGGTCTGAAATCTTCCCATCTGGACAAGGAGAACAATCAAAACAACAAAATGGTTTCCCTTCTTTCTTTTTTCTGCTGTAACCTGGATGGCAGTTTTCATTACATCTGGCAAGGGGCAGCACCTATCAAAAAAGAAAGAAAGAAAGAAAGAAAGAAAGAAAGAAAGAAAGAAAGAAAGAAAGAAAGAAAGAAATGCACACTTCTTTCATATGAAGAATACTGAACCCCATGCTGCTCTTAAAAAAGTTGATTCACAAGGGAACTGTACTGCAAAGAGAATCAAATGGATTAGATTTCAAATTCTAAACAGGTGGAAATTACTCAGGAAAATATGAACAAGGGTTCAAGTTTAATAGAGAACAGATTGGTTTCCAAAGGATGCCTTGGTATAACAACCTTCTGATCATTGCTGGTCCCATATAAGCATAGTGACACAGAAGCTCAGCAGTACTTGGTCTGAATGAGCAAAACATACTACATACAAAGCTACATTTTGGGGTGATTTTATGAACCAAAATAAGTACTTATTTTCTACTACTATATATATATAGAGAGAGAGAGAGGTAGTAGTAATGTGTGTCTGTGTGTGTATGCTAATTTCTCTGTCCATTTTCTATGTGGCAGTTGTAAAAAAAATCAAATTCCATTGTAGGGATCATTAGGAAAGGAATTGAAAATAAAACTGTCAATAACATAATGTTATTATGCAAATCTACAGTGTGATCACATTTGGAATACTATGCACAGTTCTTGCATATGGAATACTATTCTTGTTGGCTCACCTCAAAAATGAAATTGTAGAGTTGGAAAAGGACAGCGAAAATGATCAAGGAAATAGAGTTACTTCCCTATAAAGAAAGGTTGCAGAATTTTGAACTTTTTAGTTTAGAGAAAAAGTGAGTAAAAGGTGAAATAATAGAAATCTATAAATTTATGCACGACATGGAGAAAGTGGATAGAGAAATGTGCCTCCCCCCACCCCATAACCCTAGAAGTCATGGACATTCAATGAAGCTGAATGTTGGAATGCTCTGCCGCCACTATCCAAGCCAAAAATGCTTTTGAATTCCAGTTTCTGGAAGCCGGGGCAGGTGGTGGTGGTAGTGCTCTTTTGCTCAGATTGTGCTTACAGGTTCCATCTGACTGGTCACTGTGAGAACCAGATTACATTATCCATTTATATATCTCAGTTTTTTCTTCTTGTTGTTGTTTGTTCCACATAATTCCCGAGAAATGCTGGGTACTTTCTCCTAGTTTGCTCTGTTTTGAACCCACCTGATTAAATGCCATGTGCCATGTGATGGCCTCCTTATTAATTGTGAACACTTGATCCAGCACAGAATGTGGATTCATTCTTCCCACGTTTACTTTTAAGAAAGATTGATTTGGGAAAGTAACCCAGTTTATTATATCAAATCCAGCCTTTAATTCACCATTCTCATTAAAATACACTGTATCACCAACGGTATTGTTAAATGAAATTCTCCTTAGGAAATGATGAAGCTAGAGTGAACAGAGACAAAATGAGATTTTACGAAGGTTCAAGTCTGACTTTACAGAATGATTAAAGTGCAACCCCTCTCCCCCCCCCAGTCTTTCATTCTAAAACTATATGCTTCAGAAAAGGGATGTGTTGTGTTCAGGTATGGAAATGTAATGTATATATAAGGATATTATGTGAATCGGTCAGAACACTTCAAATCCCTTTGTGATTGATTCATGCTTCATATAAGCCTGAGGTTCCTTCTACCCCCATGAACCTCCACAGCATACTGGCTGAAAGGTGGTCACCAATCAGGTTTTTGGATGCTTGGATACTTGCCAATGCCAAGCCAAAGTGTGCAAACCGTTGCCAATAAAAGTCAGTCCATTAGTGACTAATATTTGCATAGCTCTTTCCTCCTCCCTCTGCTCTGCTGCACATTGTAAGCCACGAGTTATGTGAAAAATTACCTTCCAAGGTTGCACATTCAGATGATCCAACCAACTTCTGTCTGGCATTGCTCTGTGTTTTAGCCTGGATGAGTACATCCTATGTAAAGTGTGTGCTATGGCATGGACTGCATTGTAAATGCTATAGCTTTGACCAGTAAAACTCATTTCAAAAAGAGTCCCAGGGAGGCTCTCCAGCTTCTCTTCACCACTGCAATGATTATTATTGCATTTGTCACTGCATTTGCTGATCTGATTTGAATCAGAGAAAAAGCAGTTAAATGCCTGTTGCCAGAAAATTATAAGGAAACCATCCCCTTTGGGTGACTTAGGATGTAAGAACTGCAGGAATTTTCTGAAGCCTACTACTTCTTTTGAGTGCATGACAAAAGACAAGGCCCCATCAAAGACTTGGATATTAGATGTCCTGTGCAATGTTTCTGAAGAAAAATCCCACTGAGCTGTCATGATCCAGACTTTTCCTATAGATGTCTCTTCGATGCCTTTCACCATTGCAAAGAAGAATATTGTCCAAGTGATACATGTAATGGTGGCATAGTCTGCATTTACCACCAAAACATTGACTTTGGAGTTGGATAGATAGCTGGCCTTGTGCAAAATAGATTTAAATGAACTCAGTTTATCTATAGCATGAGATATGGCTGGTGTCTTTTCACTGAGGGCAATGCATATTCCACATTGCAAAAGCATTGGGATCAAGGTCAGCATAAACTTGTCTCCATTATCATCATCCTTTGCAATGATTCCAATCCATGTCCACTGAAAATACAAAAGAAGCTGGACAATCCCTTCATACTGATATTGTTCACTGGGAACTGCCCTGTACAGTGAAGGGAGTTGATTTCTAACATGCATCACTGGAGCAAATGCACAATAGGCAATCTAAGGGGAATAATAATCAGAAAATCACTAATTCTAATATTTAATATATTGATAAGATAATATCATCATTAAAATAATGTGAATATATTATTTGCTTAACTGAAAAATAGCTTATTCTTAGGGGAAAGCATTTCTCATGATATTGTCTTCTTTCCTTCACACACAATTTTATTGCCAGGGAACTGCTTTTTCAGCTTGGAATATAGATGAATTCTGATGATTTTGTGGTTAATGTCAAAAACTCTTGAACTCTAGTCCTGTTTTGCTTGTGAGGGTGAAATTTGTAGTCCTTTCCATCTTTTTTCTATGCTGAATTTCATGTTCAGCTATGCCATGGCTTTAGAATTAAGCAGCACTCTCCCATTGTTAACTTTGTGGCAGAAGAAGTAGCCATACCACTAAGGTAGCAATATAATTATAGTGAGGTTTCTGTTGAAGACTTCCTAAAAACTGAAGTTACTGCAGATTAAAAACAAAACAATGTAGACCATGTATCTAGAGCACATCCAACCTGCTCCAGAAAAAATCCAAATTGTTTCTTATTCACCTTTTCAAAGTATAATTCAATGTGCTAGTGCTCATCCTTTGAAGGCAGGCACAGCTTGGAATATGGCTATTTGAGACAACACCTTTCACCCCATTAACCTGTCTATGCTCACGATTTTCCTCAGAGGTCCTTCTGCTGGTGCCCCCACTAGCCATAAGGTGGTGGTTGGTAATGGGTCATTTTGGTTGTAGTGCTGCCTTCTGGAGCTCTCTCCCACTGGACATTCACCTGTTGCCTATGATTAAAATGTTCTTTAAGCAATGGAACACTGGTAGAGAAACCTCTGGCTCTTCTAATGTTGCTGGACTACAAATCTTGCCATTTTTGAACACAGGGCTTGCTGCCTGGAGCTGATAAGTGTTGTATTCCAGAAACCTTAGAAAGGCTAAACATTGCCTACTGGTGCAGTAAGCAAAGAAGTTGCCAAAACCAAGGTTCCTCAACCCACCATATTCTATATATTTTTTAAAAGTCTCTCTTTTTCACTATCCAAATATTAATATGCAGGTTGTTTCCATTTTTAGATGTGTTGTTGAACTCTGTTTCACAAGCACAAAATGGTGAGAAATTGGAGACAGGGGACTTTTTCTAAATTTTCTGGATTTTCTGGAAGGAAAAGCAGTTGTAACTGTTATTTTCTCTTGTAATGGCTTATACTACCTGTGGAATCTTGTAGATGCCTAATAGAGTAGCCATGTGAAGGGAGATTTCAGAGTCAAGTCCCCCAATAACAGATATCAGCTTCCGTTGCTTATCACATTTGAAGTTTGGAACAATTGCTTTCTGGCTGGAAAGAAGTTTCAAGGTGTTTTGATGAGTCATCCTTGCATTGAAATAACTCTCATAAATGTGGAAGCCAAGACTTGTATTTGGTAAGATATTGGGATTCTTATTCAACTCCTTCACTGCAAACACCAAGGACAGAACATGCTGGTAGCTTTTTGTTATTGCCCTAAATGAAGATTAGTGCTAAGTGTGAGACAGATATTGAGTCCTATCCTAACCATCTATTTGATAATTACTTTTGATAGGACACAACTGGAGACATCATCATGACTGCAGATGTGATTAGGTTTGAACTGCATACCTTTTCTAATTTGTAGAGAACAAGAAAAAAAACCCGTTAATGAATTCATAGAGTAGCACAAAGCGGGAGTACCAACTTGAATAAAATATTGAGGGGCCCAGGTAAGCCCTGCCCTGCATAACTTATCACATCACACACACACACAACCTATATGAATGGCAATGCCCATAACTTTGCGGGGGGACTGGCTCCCTAAAATATTTTATTGGGGAGAGCAAAGGGGCCTAAATGCCTAGGAGTTGGCTCCTATGGCACAAAGCTTCCAGTTTGGGAATTCATGAACATGTTTAAAATGTTCATATCATTACTAGCAGCAAAATTTGCCTTCTCTTCAGTCAAAGGTCCCAGAATGGGTAAAGGGGTGGATCTTCAGCATTCACTAAATGCTGTATAATGAAGGTACAGGATGGGTGCCAATGGGGAAAGAGTTCCACAACTTAGGAGCTGATACAGAGAGTGCCCACTCTTGGGCTGCCACCCTTCTCTGTGCAGAGGAACTACTCAAAGGACCCTCTGTCGATCTTAGCACCCCCCGAGAAGCTCTGTATGGAAGGAGGAATTCTTTGAGGCATTTCTGTTTCTGTGGCATATTTATAATCAGTACATATATATTATATGAAACTCTGCAAATTTTGTATATACCCGATTAGGTGCTGGTTATTTCAGGAACTCTGGAGTGTATATGCATATAATATACCAGAATTGTTTGTATTTTTAGAAGACAGGGATCAATAGGACTTTACCTCTTGTTGAAACTAAGAAGTGAGGTAGAACTAAGAATGAAAATTATAAGGACATCTATTGATATCAGGCAGGTTCCTTCACTAGACTTTTTTTGGTACCTTGTAAAAAAATCTTTTGTTAAGACAAACCTACCCATATAAGTAAAATGCTGGTGTGTGTTTGAATCTTTTTTTAGTTTAATACTGGTTTGGGCGCACAACCCTAGAGTCTGTCAAGACTGGCCCGTATGGGCAGGGGTACCTTTACCTTTACTTTACCTTATGGTTTTAAATATTTATTTATAACTGTTTTACAGATATTTTATCGCTCTTTTTCATGAAACAGTTATTGTAAACTGAGTTTCTTTCTTTTCACAATCAAGCTGTATATAAATTTTATGAAATAAAAAATAAAATAGGATTGAGGAATTATGTCTGACAACATGAGGGTTGTAGCCAACATGTAGAACAAAAACCACGTAGATTTTAAAAGCCTGCTAATAAGACTAAATGCTTGTACAGCCTGCTTTGGGTCATTGCAGTGCTTGTATCACCTACATAAGGCAATTCTAAGCTGGGCTGTCACAGTAGAGCTGGGGTAAGGGGTATACCTTACATTAGTCCATCCAAAAACTTTGTTGCTGGGTGTTCGCTGAATAAAATTTCATCAAACATGCAGACATATTGAGTAGCAATTGCTCCAATGGTGATGTCTCCTGTCTGATTATACTGGTATGGGAGCTGGAAGGGATCTGTCAAGGTACACATAACAGTGGGTGTCTCACATTCACTTTGAGGAAGTTGCAGCCACAAAATAAGAAGCAGGAGAAGGAATTCCTCCAACATCTTGGACAATGCCCAGTTCCATTTATTATCTACCATCAGCCTTGTTACAACTTGCTTACATCCATGGCTCCAAATGCTTTTGCAATGGGAATTGTCACATATCTGACTTAATGCTTCAGTCCACCCAACATCCCATTACTAAATGGCAAAGAGCTATTTTATAATAGATTTCAGACTATGCTATTAATTCTGTTTGTGAACTCTACAGTTCACATGGGGTTTGGGAAGATGGATGGTGACATGTGGTAATTTGTGATAATTGAAGTGTTCAGAGCCATCTTCCAAGCGTATTGCATTCTGGAAGGTTTTACTTGCCTCAGAAAACCCCCCTGAAAAAACATGTTTGCTGCCTCTCAGCATGGTTTACCAAGAAATCATATGTTCCAATTAATGCCATGATTTACTCTAAATCAACTTGTTAATAAATTATTTTCCATTTTCATACTGGAGCCTCCATATGATCTCTTTCTCATGGTTAGTTCCGAACAACTTGTCTTTAGTTATCAAAACAGGCTTAGCATGACTTTGACATTTTGTCATATTGATTTAATAGCAGGAAGGGAATTCAACAGAAAACATTCTCTTCTTGGCATTAGAATGTGTCAACAAGTTGAAAAATATTCCAGGCAGTGGGTAGGTGAAAGATCTGCTTCTCTATGGAATACCTATCAGAGTATTTAACTTTTTAAAAGACGTTTTTAATTGTTTTTAGAATATCTTTTAGGGAAAAACAATTAAAAACAGAACTCCTATTTTTTATGTTTTAATTTTAATCTGTTATTGACACTAGGAAACTCTGTCCACCACAAGCTTCACACAAAGTTGTGGGTGAGCCAGGGTGTCAAAAGTTGAAGAGAACACAATGAACTGGGGAGGGCTAAGCAGAAACAGATTTGTATAATAGAAAGCCTTTGAAAAGTGTCTGATGGAGGTTTCTTAATTAGGCTGTAATCTTTACATAGCTGGGACATTAAGGTATGTATGTGAATCTATAAAAAAACAAGTGAAACCTGTCATCGGGGTCTCTTGTTTCTTTTATGCAACATGAGATGAATGAGACACCATTGTTTTTGCTGCCCATTCAGTTATTGACCAAAGAATACAACGGCTTGTTTCACAAAACATCCTGTGATGTACATGTCTGAACAGAGCACTGAAACCTGTCCATCTTAAGAGATACAAAGTCTAATTATATATGTGTAATACATGTGTAATATATTTTGGGTGTTCAACATAAACTACATTGAAAGTGCAAAACTGTTTGAAAATAAAAGGAGACTTGAAAATGCAAGAGCCTGGAAACATGTTTTAAGAGTTTGTTTTTATTAAAGTTCACAACTGAATAACAGTGCAAGAATAACTATCCTAACCCTTCAGTTCCTATATATTCCTCTTTATTAGCTGTTCTCTGCTGTTCAAGGAAGGCCTCAGGATAATTATATAGCATTTGGGGGCAAAGATACAACCAAGTAATCCAGCACTAGAGGCCAGGATGGAGAAGATCTCCACAGCCACTGTGTATTTCCCCTTAGTGCTCAGGTATGCTGGAACAAAGGACAACCAAACACTGCAAAACACCAACATGCTGAAAGTGATGAACTTGGCTTCATTGAAACTGTCTGGCAACTTCCTGGCTAGGAAAGCCACAGTGAAGCTGATACTGGCAAGAAATCCCAGGTATCCTAGAACACAATAAAACATTGTGATGGATCCCTCATTGCACTCCACTATGATTTCTTCAGCTATAGAGTCCATGTCCAAATCTGGAAATGGAGGAGTGGTACTGAGCCATACAGCACAAATATTGGTTTGGATAAAGGAGCAGCCGAGAAGAACAATATTGGCCAAACCTTTCCCCACCCATTTCCTCATTCTTGATCCCGGTTTGGTGGCCATGAAAGCCACAACCACAGTTATCGTTTTTGCCAATATGGTAGAAACAGCCACTGAGAAAATGATGGCAAAAGAAATTTGTCTTAAGTAGCACGTTACTGCATTGGGCCGACCAATGAACAGCAAGGCACAAAGGAAACAGAGCAATAGGGAGACTAGCTGACAATATGTAAGTTCCCGATTGTTGGCTTTGACGATGGGAGTATTCTTGTGCTTGATGAAAATTCCTAACACCAAAGCTGTGATGAAAGAAGAAGACAAACTGAAAAAAACTGAACAGATTCCTAAAGCTTCTGTGAAAGAGAGGAAGTTTGGTCGCTTGGGGAGGCATTGATCTCTGTTTCTGTTTGGAAATTGATCTTTTGGGCACTGGAAACAGTTATCCATGTCTGAAAAACAGGGGGGGGGGGAATCCCTCAATAATTAGTAATCAGAAAGATTGCATTCCCACCCCAAAAGTTATTTACATACTCCCTCTCTCTATATATATATATACAGTGGTACCTCTGGTTACATACTTAATTCGTTCCGGAGGTCCATTCTTAACCTGAAATTGTTCTTAACCTGAAGCACCACTTCAGCTAATGGGTCCTCCCACTACTGCCGTGCCACCGCCGCACGATTTCTGTTCTCATCCTGAAGCAAAGTTCTTAACCCGAGGTACTAGTTCTGGGTAAGCGGAGTCTGTAACCTGAAGCGTATGCAACCTGAAGCGTATGTAACCCGAGGTACAACTGTATTCTTCCTGAGTCCATGACACCAGTTTCATCTCAGAAATACTATAGCAAACTCTAATGCAAAAATGTCAACTGAGAGTGACTCTGTAGATGGCAAACCTATTGCAAGGTCAGGCAGGATGTATCCAGCTTAGGATACAGTGGATCTCTGGCTGTTTTCCTTTATTGCTCCCTTTATTGTATCTAGCATCCCTTTGGGGGACAGAACCTGAGCCTTATGGTGAAGGGAGTTGTACAGCCCTTAAGCATATGTAGGCAATTCACATCTTACACTTAGTATACTAATGTGATTGCAGCTTTGCGTGGATGGGGAATAATAAATAAATGGAGAGTGGAGACAAGTCACTCTCCCTTTATGTATTTTTTACACCCCTCCCACCCACAGCTGCAATCATAGGCTTACTTGACTTTGAGAAGGCAATGTGTGGGCTTTGGCAACATACCAGAGCCCTTGCGCTGTGTTCCCAAAACTGGGTAAGTGAGGCACTGGACTTTGAGAAGGAGGCATAAAGGCTCTAGAAGTGTGATAGAGTCCTTGTGCCTCCTCTTCAAAGCCTGGTACCTCACTTACCAGTCTAGAGGAAGGCAGGGGTGAGGTCTCTATGACGCTGCTGGAGCCCCCATGCCACCTTCCCATAGACAGGTAAACAGCACTCCACCTTGCAGGGCATTCTTGGATTTACTTATTTTTTTGTTTATGTGTGGACCACACAACCGAACCCTCATGTAAGAGGCAATACATATGTATAACAAAAACTCTACATCTTTTTCTCAAACACAAGCAGACAACATGATCCACTAGCTGTATGTTTAGTCTATTCTTAGGACCATTTCAACTTTTTTTAAAAAAAGATTTTTTTAAAAAGACCCTCCTAAGGTTCATGGTGTTCACTGCTAACGTTGTAAATACCATTGTTCTTGAGCTGCAGATGATACATCAGAAATGCATGTGTCAAAAAAGCTTGTTTGGGATATTTATTATCATTCCTCAGACTTATAAAATAATATTTATAACCTGATGGAATGAAAAAGAAGCAAAATTGATCAATTACTGCTACGATGGTTCTAATATTAATCAAATTCAAATCCTTTATTGCTTAGCTGGTGGAGGCATAATCAAATTGTACAACAGTACAGTAAAAATGGAAATAAATCACTATATATTTGATGTATGAGGCTTATTTTGAACATATAGGGTTTTTTGCTAACATACAGGGGTAACATACAGGGGTAAGAAGTTTGGTTGTTTATTCAATACATTTGTACTGTGTATAACAAATTATCAATTTGTGTTCTAACTGGATCATCACCATTCTTTTGGGAAAGATGAACTGTAGGCAGAAGAAAAATGAAGAAAAATTTATGCTCACGAAATTGAACATATTGTTTCCTACCCTTTTGGTCTGAAATCTTCCCATCTGGACATGGTACACAATCATAGCAACAGAATGGCTTCCCCTCTTTCTTTTTTCTGCTGTATCCAGGAAGGCAATTATCATTACACTTAGCAGTTGGCAGGATCTATCCACAAAAAGAGGAGAATAATTGCTCTGGTATCTAATCAATAAATTAATACTATGGTGTTTTAAATTAATACTATGGTGCTGCTTATCATGGTCCATGAGGTTTCTAAGGCTGCAGTTCTATTTACAAATTCCTGAGACACCTTGAACTAAATGGGACTTATATCTGAGTAGACATAGCTAAGTTTGCATTGCAAAAAAATCAGCTACTTTAAAGGAGTCAACCATTTTAAAGGAATGCTTTAAACAGAACATAACGGCTTTGAAAATAGTTATGATCTTATGATCGTTGTTAGTGCTCTTGACTGAGTTGCTCAGAAGCTGGGTGATTCTGAGCCTAGATTAACTAAGCAAACCACACTTGACTGTCACATTTGGAGTAGATGTCATAGTCATGAATCTCAGTAAGTAAATTCCAAGAAGTTTTAACCAGAGATGTTATCCTATAATGAAGGAACGTGAACCTAGTTCACTGAATTGTGAGCAATACTTTTGGCATAACATTTTGATACCTTTAAAATAAATTCCCTACAAGGAGGTTGTTGACTTCATACTCAGTAACAATGGGACTCACATTCTGAAGAAGCTTATCACATGCTGTATCACTATTAATAATCTTCAGCATCCAAACAGTCCAATGAAAATACTCTACTGGTACAATTCTAAGGATCATTGAGTAGTGGCTCCTTTTGGAGCAAGTCATCCAAGAAATGACAGTAGATATGCACAATCCCTCTCATTCAATTATTCCTTAATGAAGCACTATTAACTTGAAAAATACTGGAAATGATACTACAGTGGTACCTCGGGTTAAGTACTTAATTCATTCTGGAGGTCTATTCTTAACCGGAAACTGTTCTTAACCTGAAGCACCACTTTAGCTAATGGGGCCTCGTGCTGCCACCGCGCCGCTGCTGCACGATTTCTGTTCTCATCCTGAAGCAAAGTTCTTAACCCGAGGTACTATTTCTGGGTTAGCGGAGTCTGTAACCTGAAGCGTATGTAACCTGAAGCGTATGTAACCTGAGGTACCACTGTACTTGTATCAATATAATTGCCTCCTTTTCCTCTTGACCCAAACTGTTTCCCACTGAAATTGCTGCTAAAACATAGAGGAAAAGCAGTTGTTAGCAAGTAGTTTCAGTGCAAACAGCGCTGTGCACTTGACTAAGGCATGATACCACTGCCCATCAACCAACAGACTGTGGCTTGCTCAAGAAAAGGAACAGCTGGTAGCTGACTTTACAATCTTAACTGTTCCTTTGTAGCCACATCAGTCCCTGACCTGACATCACATCTGACATAATGTAGAATAGGTGTGGCATCATTAGTGAGGAATGGCTTCATGAGCAAAATTAGGTCTGCAAGCTAGAAGTTTTCTGATCCTGTAAACAGTGATAAAATAACAATAATATTAATTTCAATTAATAATATTTCCTTTATAAATCATTCTTCAGGTTCTCTCATAGGCATAACCAAGTATCTTTTTGTGAGAGAATTGGATACCAAAGACTATGCCCAACTAATATTTTCTCTTGTACCTTTATTTTTATCCTACCTGATTAAATGTGTTGTGCCATATGACAGCCCCTTCATTAATGGTGAATGTTTGACCCTGTGTTGTGTATGGATCCATCTCTCCCACTTTCACTCGTGAAAAAGATTGGTTTGGGAAGGTAACCCAATTTATAATATCAAATCCCGCTGCCAATTCACCATTCTCATTTAAAGAAACAGTGTCTCCAGCACCATTGTTGAATGAGGTACTCCTTAGGAGAGAATGAAGCTAGAATGAAAAGTGGCAAAGGCAAAAACAAAACATCAAATTTGCAGATGACACCAAAGTGGGAGGGATAGCTAATGCTGCAGAAGGCAGGATCATGATTCAAAATGATTTTAACAGATTGGAGAAGTGAGCCCAAACTAACACAATGAATTTCTACAGAAGGGGATGCTCTGCCTACCATGCCCACCTTTCAGGAGGCAGAAACACATTCCACATCACCTAGGTCCAAAGGAGGTGTGAACAGATGGAGAAGATCCTGTCTTCTCTGCAAAGTGATAGATTGCTTAATAAGGAACAAAAAAATCCTACTTTGTCCTAAAGTGACCACCCTAGCCACACTACAGGGAAGGTCAGTATGTGGAATGGCAAAAAGAAGAATGAGAGCAGGAGCATTCTGGGCCTAAATGCACTCAGTTGCCCCACCCTCCGTGTTGTCATGCACAGGACACTGCATGTGGACGGCAATTTGTTCTTAAGGCAGATGGTTGTTGGGGCTTCAACCCCAGGCTGCAAAGCATGCCATGCAAAGCAAGATCAGAAGTGGAGTGGGAACTGGCTTAATAAAAGACCACCACTTTATTAACTGGTTTTTAAAAAATAGAGTTTTACTCTGGGAACAGCTCCAAGGAAAGGGAAAGTTGCCATAGTGTGTGCCTTTTTTAAAAAAAAAACACCTGTTACAAAACAAGTATTTTGTATTAAGAAAATGGAAAGATCACAGATACTCAACCCAAAATTATTAGGAATGTTAAGTGCCCTAACCAATGGCCTACCAATTTCAGTTCTTCTTTCTCCACTCCCACTTCCTATAATGTCCATGAAAAAGCTATTAAACATTATTTAATAGCTGGGAGAGATCATCAGGGGGTTTGGGCTGGGTGTTCATCAGTATGCGGATGATACCCAGCTCTACCTCTCTTTCAAATCAGAACCAGTGAAGGCGGTGAAGGTCCTGTGTGAGTGTCTGGAGGCGGTTGGAGGTTGGATGGTGGCTAACAGATTGAGGCTGAATCCTGACAAGACAGAAGTACTGTTCTTGGGGGACAGGAGGCAGGCAGGTGTGGAGGATTCCCTGGTCCTGAATGGGGTAACTGTGCCCCTGAAGGACCAGGTGCACAGCCTGGGAGTCATTTTGGACTTGCAGCTGTCCATGGAGGCACAGGTCAAATCTGTGTCCAGGGCAGCTGTTTACCAGCTCCATCTGGTACGCAGGCTGAGACCCTATCTGCCTGCGGACTGCCTCGCCAGAGTGGTGCATGCTCTGGTTATCTCCCGCTTGGACTACTGCAATGAGCTCTGCGTAGGGCTACCTTTGAAGGTGAGCCGGAAACTACAACTAATCCAGAATGCGGCAGCTAGACTGGTGACTGGGAGTGGCCGCCGAGACCACATAACACCGGTCTTAAAAGTCCTACATTGGCTCCCAGTACGTTTCCGAGCACAATTCAAAGTATTGGTGCTGACCTTTAAAGCCCTAAACGGCCTCAGTCCTGTATACTTGAAGGAGCGTCTCTACCCCCATCATTCTACCCGGACACTGAGGTCCAGCTCTGAGGGCCTTCTGGCGGTTCCCTCACTGCGAGAAGCCAAGTTACAGGGAACAAGGCAGAGGGCCTTCTCGGTAGTGGCGCCCTCCCTGTAGAATGCCCTCCCACCAGATGTCAAAGAGAACAACAACTACCAGACTTTTAGAAGACATCTGAAGGCAGCCCTGTTCAGGGAAGCTTTTAATGTTTGATGTATTAGAGTATTTTAATATTTTTCTTTGGAAGCCGCCCAGAGTGGCTGGGGAAGCCCAGCCAGATGAGCGGGGTACAAATAATAAATTATTATTATTATTATTATTATTATTATTATTATTATTATTATTATTATACCACTTCATTTCAGAAATATTTACTTTGAGAATAGCTCATTCACTTATAAAATCTATCCCATCCAGCATATATCAGATGGCAAACATTACCCTCCTTATTCATACACTTAAAATGTAACTTTAGAGATGTGTCCCTAGAAGATGCTTTCAGTGTCGACATGGCACTATGATACAAGCTCTTTTTCTTATTCCCTCTTAACACATCTTTCTTCATTCATCAACCTATAGTGACATAGAATTCCTGAATCTTCATTGATTAGCATCAATAACTTTTGAGGGGAGTTGGAAATGAATTGACCTTCAACAGATTGATGACTTCTGCTGTGCTTTCAGGTGGCAGGTAAGGAAAGAGGTCTGGGAACAGGAGTGACCAGTGTATTCACGGAATAAGGAACATAGTGCATGGATCTGAATTTCCTGAAGTGTGTGTCATCACACAACAAACTACATATTACAGGAGAGCTAGTTTTCATATGAAAATTACCTGCCAAGGTTGCACTTCTGGAAGATCCAATCTACTTCTGTCCAACATTGCTCTGTGTTTTTGCCTGGTTGAATACATTTTCTGTAAACTATGTGCTATGGCATGAACTGCATTGTAGATGCTATAGCTTTGGCCAGTCATACTTATTTCAAAGAGAGTCCCCGGGAGACTGTTCAGCTTCTCTTCACCAGTGCAAGTAACTGATCTCATCTCTTCCTCCTTAGAATCAGGAAATGAGCAGTTGAATGCTTGCTGCCAGAAGATCCTCAAAAAATCATTGTCTTTGGTCATCTTAGCATGTAAGACCTGAAGGAATTTTCTGAAACCCAAGTCTTCATTTGAGTGTATTGCAAGAGATAATGAACCATGAAACACCTGTATGTCAAAAGCCCTGTGCATCACGTCAGCTGAGAAATCCCACTGGGCTGTTGTTATCCACACTTTACTGATGGATGTCACTTTTATATCTTTCAGCATTGCATATATAAGCATTACCCATGTCAAATATGTCATGACACCAGTTTCTGCATTTACTATCAATACATTGACTTCAGAATTGGATAGATAACTGGCCTTGTCCAGGATAGAGTCAAATGAACTCAACGTCTCTACAGCATGAGTTGTGGCTGGTATTTTTTCATTGAGGGCTGTGCAGATTCCATGCTTCAAAAGCATTGGTATTAAAGTCTGCAGAAATTTCTCTCCATTATCATTCTCCATTGTGAGGATCCCAACCCACGTCCATTGGAAATGAAGAAGAAGCTTGACAATCCCTGCATACTGATACTCTTCATTGGGCACCATCCGGTAGAATGGAGGGAGCTGGCTTTTATCATCCATCTCTGGAGCATTCACACAGTAGGCAATCTAAGCCAAATAAAAATTATACATTCATCAAAAAATAATCATACAATGACATTATGCAATTAGATTAATAATGTAATAGCACCGCATTTTCCCCTTCCTTGTTGCCAGGCTTCCTGCTCTCATTTTTGTAGACACATCTTTTAATTCGTGAATTCATTCTGTAGTTTAATTGTAGAGCACTAGATTAATTCAGTTCATTTTATGCTAAATGTCATACATTCAGAAATTCATACTCTATCTTTTTGTTTGTGGCATGCAGGTGAAATGTCAATTAGTTTGTGTCAGGCTGCTGCCAGCAACTCCCACGGCTGGTTGCCAGGAACGTACAAAGACAAGGAAATGTTTCTTACCGTCCACTTTTGATTCAGTATTTACAGAGAGAGAGGCTATAGCACCCAGCCTAATAATAATAATAATAATAATAATAATAATAATAATAATAATAATTTATACCCTGCCCATCTTGCTCGGATTCCCCAGTCACTCTGGGGGGCTTCCAACAAAATATTAAAAATATGTTAAAATATGGATAATGGCATTATCCCGAGTGAATCTCCACCCCCCGTCTCTTCCATGTCCTCATTCGTCAATCACATAATCTCCTCTACAGGTGCTGATACAGTAAGTGCCCCCTGCCTTTGAGCTCTTTGCTCTCCTACTTTCAAGGATTGCTGGGTCCTGGGAGAGGGGGGTTCTGGAATGCTTTCTAAAGACACTGTGTCTGTCTGCTGTCACCCCTCCTGTGCTCCTCTCCTTCCTCCGCTCCCATTATTTCCCAACTTTCCCCCTCATCTGCCTCTGGGCTGTGACCTCGCTCAAACCCCTGTTGTAATTCTAAACTGTCTTCCTCCTCACTGGAAGGGTCAAACTGCCAAGTCCCTGACAGTTTGCAGGTTTTCTATGTATCAACAATTGTGACTCTCTGCCATAGGAAGTAAGCACTTCATACACCTTCCCACATTGTCTTAGTTCCTAACACTACTTAGCAGTAAAAGCAGCAGTTATGCTACTAAGCTTGGCAAAAATTGAATATATGAACACATATGCTGCATATATGGAATAGCATGATAATAAATTGTCACAAGGACAGTTCAAAGTGCTGGTGCTTACCATTAGAGCCCTACATGGTTTGGATTAAGGATACTTGAGGGAGCATCTTCTAGCCCAGAGATAGGGAGTCTATGATCCTCCAGAATTGTTGCAATATAACTATCATATCCCTATCTATTGGCAAAGCTCATTGGAGCTGATGGGAACTGAAGACCATCAACAAGGGTGGGTGGCACAGCTTGCCCAATCAACCACTCAATACAATAAGATCTTCTTCAGTGACCCTGCAACAAGTCCACAAACCATCTGAAATGAAGCTATTTGTGAAGGTCCAAATAGTTCACTATCATATTTTATTGGATAAACATAATACAATCTATGGAAAACTTATAATGTCAGGTGATTTGTTCTACCTGTGGAATCTTGTAGATGCCTAAAAGAGTAGTCATGTAAAAGGAAATTTCAAAGCTAAGTCCTCCGATGACAGCTATCATATTCTTTTGCTTAAAACATTTGAAGTTGGGAACAATTGTTTTCTGGCTGGAAAGAAGTTTCAAAGTATTCTGATGGATCATTCTTGCATTTAGATAACTGTCATAAATGTGAAAGCCAAGGCTGACATTTAGTAAGGTCTTCAGGTTTTTATTTATCTCATTCACTGCAAAAACCAGAGACAGGATATGCTGGTAGTTCTTAGACTTTGTCCTAAAGAAAAGAATTGTATCATGTGTGTTATTATTAATAATAAAGGATCAACCATCCTTTTCAGAACAAGGATGAGTCATTTATTTATTCAGTCTGCCCATTGTGTTTTGGGCAAAAATGCATTTGACAAGGCCTTATCTAAAATAAATAAATAAATAAACAATATTTAAACAATGGTTTAGCCCTATATATGGAAATCTAAAAGCTGAAAATCTAAAAACTGTGGAACTCCCTCCCCACAGAGGTGTGTCTGGCACCTTCATTACACAGTTTCTGGTCAATGCCAAAATACACCTCTTTACCCTGGCTTTTGACACCTGAGATGTATATTTTTAGGACCCAACTTATTTTTGCTCCTGTATATTGTTTTATACTGTTTTTAATGTTGTGTTTTACTATTGCTTTGGGTGAAGGGCGGGTAAATGATGATGATGATGATGTTAGCTGGCGTCAGTGCCAGATTTACGTATAAGCCAAACAAGCTATAGCTTAGTGCCCCACTCTCTTGGGTCCCCCCCATATACTTCTTCTTTATTGCATTTCACTATTAATATACTTCTTAATTGTATTTCAGTTCAACAATTACTTTGATAAAATACATTTTTTGTTATGTGCAAATGGCTTTAAATACATATCAGGTCCATAAATTACCATATAGCATATATTCAACACAAAAAACAGTGGCAATTTGTTGTTGACAAAGGACAGCTGGACATATAAAGGGCCCCATTACCTTCAGTAGCTTAGGGCCTCATCAAACCAAAATCCAGCCCTGGCTGGTATAAGTAAATTAAGCAAAGTTGCACCAGTTTCAAACCCTGTGTAGCAGTGGGGCTGTTCCTGGTAGAAGGAAAACAAGCTTTTAAAATATTGTTTCATGCAGGATTTGCTGGTCACATAACTTAGCTGAAAGGGTTTAGAATCCAGGCTAAGTCCACCCCCTCCCTGGTCTTGCCATGGTATACTCCCGGGGTGCCCCTTTTCTGGGACTTACACTGCCAGCTGTGCCTGTGTTTAATGCCATGTAAAATCAGAAATCTCTCATTTTCATGATTTTGGGCTCATGAGCTGATTCCTAGCTCACGAATATTAAGTCCCCAACAACCCCAGCTCAGCCAAAGATATGTCAGTGTAACTGGCTTATTCCATGTCAGGCAGGGCTTAGCTGACTGAACCAAGGTGATTGCAAGTATCCAAAAGAAGTGTTTTGCAAATATGGAATAGGTAGGATTGTGGGGAGTGTAGAGGCTAGATCCTAGGTCCTTTCTGATTGGTCACATAACCTGGAAACCCAGCATAGAAACCTGTTTTAAAGGCTTGTTTTTGCACCACCAGTTTTAAGCACAGAACTTTGTTCTGGCTTAATTTACATTGGTGTGCTTTATGCCAGCTTGTTGTGCAGAGGATTGGTTCCATAATGGAACAACTGCAGATAAGGCATGGAATACTCCACATATTGATAGAAAAGATGTTAGTACAAAATATGCTTATCTCCCAGATAAAAAGGGCAGAAACACAACCATCAAATATGAAGAAATAGGAATGGTGTGTAATGAAATGCAGTTTAACAATGTCACAGGCAGAAGGTTGCTTGGTATTTAAAAATATTCCAGCTATGCTAGAGTGCATTAATTTAAAGGGGGAAAAATAAGGAAATATTTCAATGGTATCTTTCTCAACATAAACTGAGCAAAAGATGCAGTCAAAATATGTACTGTTGGAGATGTAAAAGAACTACTACAGACTTTATACATATTTTGGAACTGTGTTAAAACAATGCATTTGGAGACTACAATTCTGCATGATTATGTATTACCATGATCCCCCAAAACAGTCCTCCTTTGCATGCATTCTGAAGTTATAAATGCTGATCTACAACTAGCAATAAACATTTTGACAATGGTAAAACTATGTATAGCCCAGCAATGGAGAATTCCCCCATAACTATAGAATGGCTGAAGAAAACTTGAGATAATATTATGGTGATAAAGCTGACATACAATAGAAATACTATAAAATATAATCTTCAAAACAGGTTTATGGAGAGATGTGCCTTTCCCATTGGAATAAAAATGTCAGATGAAATAACCCCTTATAACTGATTTTAATTAATCCATCTATATGCTTCCTTTCTTTTGTCTCAACCTTCTAAAAACTTCTTCTATTATACCCTGCTTTTTAATTTCATATCAATGTATTGTAATACTTATTAGAAGAAATAGGAAGGGATTGTGAAGGCCATTAAATAATATGAGGTGAATGAGGAAAATGTGGAATATAGAGTGGTCATGAAGAAGAAGAAGAAGAGTTTGGATTTGATATCCCGCCTTTCACTCCCTTTAAGGAGTCTCAAAGTGGCTAACATTCTCCTTTCCCTTCCTCCCCCACAACAAACACTCTGTGAGGTGAGTGGGGCTGAGAGACTTCAGAGAAGTGTGACTGGCCCAAGGTCACCCAGCAGCTGCATGTGGAGGAGCGGGAGGAGCGGAGACGCGAACCCGGTTCCCCAGATTACGAGACTACCGCTCTTAACCACTACACCATACTGGCTCTCAAGAATAAGAAAGCAACGTAAACAAAAAAAAAATAATCACAGAAATGTCAAACACACCATGTAAAGGAAAAACTATACACAATTTTAATAAACCTGCTATTAAACCTAAATACAAAAAAACTCCTGTTCTCTGATCATGTTGCTGCTTGTATAACATATGTGATTCTATTCAGCCTTACATAATTCCTTACATAAGTTCATCTGTCATCTTTGTTGTTGGCTGGTTGTTGAATGGTATTTCATCAAAGATGAAGGTGTTCAGTGAGGCAATCATATCAATGTTTATATCCCCTTTCTTATAATACTGGTGTGGGACCAGGAATGGATCAATCATGGTGCACATAGGAGCTGGCGCCTTGCAGTCAAGTTGAGGGAGACCCAAAATGAGAAGCAGAAAAGCAAATACCCCTATCATCTTGGGTGAATTCATCAAAAAGAATGCCTGGAAATGATCTATTATCGGCTACCAGACTGGATACATCACTGAAGATCAGGCGGGGAGCTGCAGCTCTGCCTGTTCACCAACCAACACACCAGCACTTAATAGGCCTGGGTATTTTTTATCAACTTTCAGACTGTGTTATTGATTCTGCTTGTGAGCTCCAGAAATCCATAGGAGGCTTGAGCAGATGGATTATGTCCCTGAGTAATTTGTGATAATTAAAGATTCCAGACTAATCTCCCAAGAGTATTGCATTGTACAATACACGACTTGCATCAGAAGAAGAGAAGAAAACATGTTTGATATATAGTGGTACCTCGGGTTACAGATGCTTCGGGTTACAGACTCCGCTAAGCCAGAAATAGTCCCTCAGGTTAAGAACTTTGCTTCAGGATGAGAACAGAAATTGCGCACCAGCGTTGCAGCAGCAGTGGGAGGCCCCATTAGCTAAAGTGGTGCTTCAGGTTAAGAACAGTTTCAGGTTAAGAATGGACCTCCAGAACGAATTAAGTTCTTAACCCAAGGTACCACTGTATCTCAGCAATCCTTACAAAGCAATCCTGCCAGGCTACTACTACTACTACTGCTACTACTATTATTACAGTCATACCTTGGAAGCTGAATGGAATCCATTCCTGAAGTCTGTTCAACGCACGGCTTCTGCAGGAGCTTCCTGCAGCCAACTGGAAGTCACAGAAGCCCCATCAGACATTTGGCTTCCAAAAGAACGTTCACAAACTGAAACACTTGTTGACAGATCTCAACCAAAACTCTCTGCTACCGGCTGCTTAGTTTGTGTAGTCCAGGATGACGACTCAGGAACATAACGTGCTGAACAGTAACTTGATTTGTATTTGCTTTCATTATATACAGAGTATAGCACAGCTTTGTGCAAGTTATTATATACACAGACTCGATTCAAACTTAACACACCAGCCTCTGAACTCTAACACCAAACTACTGTGTCATGCAGCTTATAAGGGAAAACTTTTAGCCAATCATCACCTGTTGCTAGGCTTCCCTATCTCCAAGCAGACTTTCGCATGTACTCTTGTTTAATTTGGCTTCTTGCCAACTCACTAATTGTCCACTTCAAAGCTGCAGTTTCTCACAAACCTCAACAACACTCACTTCCAGATTTGCGGCATTCGGGAACCAAAACGTTTGACTGCTAAGGTGTTCATCAACCAAGGTACGACTGTATTATTATTTCATTAAATTTTTATATCACTATTCATTTGAGGATCACAGGGAGGCTTCCAATATAGCATATTACAATAAAGTGTATTACAGTGTGATTGTGGATGGAATATATGTTTTAAATACCTGAAGGAGGAAGAGGAGAAACTCATATCCACAACAAGTTCACCAGTTGCTGTGTTTATCTGATACCTCTTAGTTAAACATTGACCAGAGGAAGTGGACATGGAAGAACAAGACTACTCCTCCCACTGAGTCCACCCAAACAGTACAACTGCTAAGGTTAGATTCAGTGCCTAAATTGCCAGCCTGACAACAGGACAGAGAGTCAGTAACTCCGTTAACACACAACTTTACTATTACTTGGTTTCTTCTGGCGGAAGACAGATGGGTGGGAAATCTTGACTATAGCAATGTTTTGTATTATCTGTTTATTGAAAAATACATATAAGTAACAGAGAAAAAGTAAAGCAGAGTTCCAAAATTAAATAATAACAGCAAACCAGTGTGCCAAATTACTATTTTGCTTGAATATTGAAATACCTCAAGAATGACAAAGAATGAGAAGGTGGAGAGCTATGGGAAGACCCCTAGACCACCCATGTTTGTCTGTTCAAGTATTCTGACAAAGTGATGTTTCAGACATTGGTGAACCATGCCTCACACATTAAAGCATCAGGAGACTTCCAATGATGGGCAAGAACTGGCAGCCACTAGCAACATTAAGACTAGGTTTTTATGTGTGATGGATGGGATGGCATTGTTCTCTAAGGAGGGAAGAGGCAAAGATGGACCAGCAAGCAAGTTTTTGTACTGAGTTTGGCCGTGTGGTGCAGATTGCTGACTCACCAGTATGCGGGATGAGGGGGACTGACAGCTCAAATGGATTATAGAGAGACATGTGGAACAAGAAAGAGTGTGTCTTTGAGATTTTATGATAATGTTTACACATTTTGCTTGGCATTTCAGTTGGGAGGCCTCATTCTTGTTTGCCATAATGGGTCAAACTCCACTAAAAGTACCATGGAAAGACCTATAAGGCATTCATTACACAAATATAAGACACACTTACTTACTACTTGCAATTGAAGGAATACATTTACATATTCCTCCTTATTAGCTGCTCTTTGGTATTCAGGGAAGGCCTCAGAATAATTATGTAACATTTAGGAACAAAAATACAGCCTACTAACCCAGCACTGGAGACCCAGATGGAGAAGATCTCCACAGCCACCATGTATTTCCCTTTGGTGCTCAGATAAGAGGGAACAAAGGACAACCAAACACTGCAAAATACCAGCATGCTGAAAGTGATGAACTTGGCTTCATTGAAACTGTCTGGCAACTTTCTGGCTAGGAAAGCCACAGTGAGGCTGACAAAAGCCAGCAATCCCAAGTATCCCAGAACAAAATAAAACATTGTGATTGACCCTTCATTACATTCTATTATGATTTCTTCAACCAAAGAGTTCATGTTGAAATTTGGGAATGGGGGTGCAGTAGATAGCCATATACTACAAATAGTGACTTGTATGAGAGAACAGCCAAGAATAATAGAAATAGCCAATTTTCTCCCCACCCATTTCCTCATTGTGGATCCTGGCTTGGTTGCCATGAAAGCCAGAACCACAGTGATTGTTTTTGCCAGCAAACAAGAAACAGCTACTGAAAATATGATGCCAAAAGCAGTTTGACGTAAATAGCAGGTCACCCACTGAGGCTGGCCGATGAATAGCAAAGCACAAAGATTGCAGAGGAACAGGGAGGTGAGGAGAAAGAATGATAGAGCTCGATTGTTGGCTTTGACAATGGGAGTGTTCTTGTACTTGATGAAAATTCCTAGTACCAAAGCTGTGGTGAAAGAAGCAGCCAATATAAAAAAAACTAAAGTGGTGCCCAAAGGTTCTGAGAAAGAGAGGAAGTTCATGGACTTAGGGAGGCATTGGTCTCTGTTCTTGTTTGGAAATTCATCTTCTGGGCATTGGAAACAGTCATCTATATCTGAAAAACAGAACAAATTATGTGTCTGTTCCTGTCTGTGCAATTATATTTTTCCAGATCTGCAGCTTCTATATGAAAATGTATACAGAAATATCTTATTCTCCTGAAGGCATCTATAGGGATGATTAATAATCCCCCCTAAGTGTTTAAAACCAATTTACTTCTAAGTATATATCAGTAAGTGCTCCAATAGGGTTTGCAGATGTCAAATCCTACTACAAGGGATTAAGCAGGGAAGTGAATATCTCTTACTTCCCAAACAAAACCACTCAATAACTGTTACTCTGCAATTTGACCAGCTTAATCTACTCTCGCAGGTTGATGCCCCTGCAAATTCCAATCATTTTGGCCAGAAGGGGAGAGAGTTATAGTCATTTGTAAAATTCACATTATAATGCGGGGGGGGGGGCAGAAGTTGGCTAGCAGTTAAGTTAGATCCCAAAGCTAAGTGTGCACAGAAAATATCTTGAAATGTAAAGAGCAAAACAAACATTAATGTATCTGAAAAATGATTTGGAATATTTACCAATAATAAAATATATCTCCCCCCCTAACATTTATTGGTTGGAAATGGGGGAGGAATTTGAGAGACTATCAACAACACAAGTTCTATTAATATTGCATAGTATGTTCACCATTTTGTTTCTCTTACCCATTTGGTCTGAAATCTTTCCATCTGGACATGGAGCACAATCATAGCAACAAAATGGCTTCCCCTCTTTCTTTTTTCTGCTATAGCCTGGGGGGCAATTTTCATTACACTTGGCAAGGGGTAGCACCTAGCCATAAAAAGAAAAGGGGAAATTAATTTCTGATAAAATTGCATTGAGAGCTATATAACATTTCTTTTATAGCAGTTTTACAGTCAGTATAGATCCAGCCAGTAACACCCTAGATTTGGCCTGGAACAAAATAGGCAACCAGTGCAGATCTCTGAGCGCATGTGTGATATGCTGACAATGCTTCCCTCCTGTCAGCAATCATGCTGGAGTATTCTCCACTAACTGCAGCTTCCAGATCAAGTGCGAGGGAAGCCCCTCATAGAGTTCATTTCAGTAACCGGTTTTGAAGTAACCAATGCATGAGCTATGGTGGCAAGGCTTTTCCGATCCAGGATTGGCTGTAGCTCTTGAACCAGCTGCAGCTGGTAAAAGGGATTTCTAGCCACTGAGGCCTCCTGAGCCTCCTGTGACAGAACTGGATCCAGAAGCACCAGTAAAGGGTGAACTTTCTCTTTCAGGGGCAGTGTAACCCCTTTGAGGGTAGGCAGCTGACCAATTTCTCAGACACGGGAGCTCTTCACCCACAACACCTCTATCTTGCCAACATTCATGCTCAGCTTGTTTGTCACCATCCATTTCACCACTGCATCCAGGCAATGGTTTAGGGACTGCACAGCCTCTCCTGATTCAGCTGTTATGGGGAAACAGAGCTGAGTGTCATCACTATACTGATGGCATCTCGCCCTGAAACTCCAATGACTACCTGCAATAGTTTCATGTGGATATTAAATGGCACTGTAATATTTCCTCTTGCACCGATATATGGGCCTCACCTGATTAAACATGTAATGCCATGTGATAACCTCATTAATAGTGAACTCTTGATCCAGAGTAGCCCATGGATCCATCCTTCCCACCTTCAGTTTTGAAAAAGATTGGTTTGGGAAAGTAACCCAATTTATTATATCA